TGATACAAAAAATGTTGTTCCGAGAAACCCGATTGAAGAATTCTTGCATAGTTTTTTTATCACCCTAGCACCGTATTAAAATATTTCTAATTTTTGCATGGTTCAAAATCTTTTCATGATAAGCTTTGAAAAAACAAACATGTTCGCCTTGGATCATTTCAAGTGAACTAGATCATCAGGCAATGATTATAATTTTAAAAGATTCTAAAGCAAATTTCTGTTAGCATATGAAACGAACTCTCCTGACGAGACACGGTAGACGTTGGCAACACGTACTAATTGGATCCATAATCCATTTCTCAAGTAGCAAATTATAACTGAAACGAAGAAGACCAAACTACGCGGCCGTTTCCATGCACCGCAGCGTGTGATTAATTAAATTGCCTACGCGTTGACGAGAGCCAAATATTTGCTGCGAATGGTCGCAGTGAGACGATCTACGCGAGGCCTCAGCGCTGGGCCGGAGACGGTCAAGTGCAAGCATTGCTTTGCCGCCATAAATAAGATGCATTTTGTATCGTTATGAAGAGAAATAAGTTATAAGGAAACTAAGAAACTTACCAAGGGTAATGAGCTTATGTAATAGAATGTGCTATAAATGAAGAGTCATGCCTAACCGTTTCATATATACTTGCAGTTTTGAGTTTCCGATTCCGAGAAAATGGTTTCGACCGTATATATAAGGGTAAAATAGTCTAGCATGTAAAGCTATGTTCGTTTCGAAATACCTAAACCGAGGTAACGGATTAATGCATATAACCTTAATTAAATTTCTGTTTAATGAATCTTCGCATTCCCCGTAAAATTGAGCGGTGTTGATAACACTAACATCGGATCAAATTGATTGTGATTCTATAGTCTGATTTACCTCAACGAAATATATGATGGAAGCCTGAAATTCATCCAGTTTGGGAACGGCAAATAAGCGCATACATGTGCATGCATAAGGTATGTGCATTTAGCTTGAAACTAAGTCAATTATGGCACGAATGTACGGACTGCATTGTGTTCATTTAGCTTTCCACTAGCACAATCAGCAATTACGCTGGAGCTGGAATTATTGTAAGCGCAAGAAGCACGATCTTCCGGTCCCATTAACGTGTTTCCGTCCGCATCTCTGGTAACGACGTCGTTAGCGACGTAAAACCATGCAAGACGAGCGACGTAAAACCATGCAAGATGAGTTCGAACAGAAAAAAACGAGGTTATGCGACTTCGTGCGCTGCTGCATCGTAAGAAAGCGCCAAGAGCTTGGACGTGGTTTCCGATGTTGGCGATATAAACTAATTTAAAAGTTTTAAGTTATCTACCGTGAGAAAAATTGTACCAGGACCATTATTAAATATCTACATATTTACGAAATAACTACCATATTTACGAAATAACTAAGTATTGAAGATCATGCAGGTAAGAATAATTACCCATTTGCCATTACCGTGACTGCTCAAGCGTTACTTCATGATTGGCTACAGTTATTTGCACTGCAATTTTTATCACTTTTATGAGTACATGATGTTTCGATCATTGCGGGACTAACGATATTAGAAGTAATTTAATTAAACTATGGAACATTTATTTATCACTACACTCCATTAAAACTCTATTAAACATTTATTGTAACACTACAACACAGCATTTCTCTTATGATATATCTTGCCGAGCTTGATATATAATCACGACTCAGCTTAAAGAGTTCTGCTTCGGCTAACACGTCTTTCTTGCTGCTCTCAGTAACAAGCTCTTTACTGTGCATTTTTTATGGAATAAAGAGCAGCTTAAGGAAATTTCCGAAAGAATAAACCAATGCGACCGCGATAACCGCAGATCAGCAGCACGCAGAAATACGAAGAAATGAGATTTATGTTGTGGGATGGAGAAGTTGAAGCTGAGAAGTTGGAGCTGAGAAGTTGGAGCTGAGAAGTTGGAGCTGAGAAGTTGGAGCTGAGAAGATGGAGCTGAGAAGTTGGAGCTGAGAAGTTGGAGCTGAGAAGTTGGAGCTGAGAAGTTGGAGCTGAGAAGATGGAGATGAGAAGTTGGAGCTGAGAAGTTGGAGCTGAGAAGTTGGAGCTGAGAAGTTGGAGCTGAGAAGTTGAAGCTGAGAAGTTAGAAGTTGGAGCAAAGAAGTTGGAGCAAAGAAGTTGGAGCAAAGAAGTTGGAGCAAAGAAGTTGGAGCAAAGAAGTTGGAGCAAAGAAGTTGGAGCGAAGGTGTTGGAGCAGTATCGCCGATAACAATGATGTTGTCGGCAGGACGCTCTAAGTAGCGGCGACAGGTCACAGAATTAGCGTAAATCGTCGTCCGTATCTGGGGTCCAAAAAACTGGCCCGGCGCCTGTGGGTTCTGGCGATCCGTGGGAGACGAATTTATTCACTTAACAATTCCTAGATTTTGACCCCATTGAAAAGGTCAAAAGACGGCGGACTTTAATTGAATCAGATATCAAAAGGAGGCGAGCTATAGTTTCAAAACTCGGAATTACTATTCAGTTGATTGAAAAATTGTCGCTTTCCATTAATTTATGAGTCGATGGAATGTATGTATATACGTGTTATGCGTGCGGGTCTAAATATATATGTGTTAGTTTGCAGAGGTTCAAATACGATATTTTTTCGGTAATTTTTATTTTTCAATGTAATATGAGACAATAATTTTATAGTTACTTGAATAGGGGCAGTCAAGCACCTGTCATTTAGAGAGCAGGTCGACATACCCCTCCAAATTCCTAAAAAGAAATTTGTCCCAGTATTGTTTCCTAACATTCGTTGTCTCGCAACACCTCACTTTATTAATACCACTGACAAAATTTTAAAAATATATTTATAAGCATCTAGTGCTTATTTAATAACGATTTATGCAATGTCAGAAAGTAGGACGCTGCCCTGAGGTCCGCCAGAAAAAGGACGTTTCTGGAGAAAACTGCGACCGCTCGTCTTGACGAGAGCTCAAAGGAATGAAGTGCTTTGTTGCTCACCTCAGACCGCCGTGCGGAGAGAGCAAAAACTTGTAAACCTTTGTTGGAATTTTATGCCCGTAAGGAATGAATTTATTTCAAAGAAATTCCGTAGGATATTTTTAACATAGAGGAAAAAGTTGCATTTTGCTTACCGCCAAGATTGTTATAATTCATGCAGTAGATACACTTGTCCCTCATTGTATCAAAACAAATGCTTGAACGTCTTTCTTAAACGTGAATGCTATAAATTATTATATTATTGATACTGCAGCTTGAGAATTTTCGCCGCGTTTGAATCTCAAACCAATTTGCCTCCTAAAGAACTGCTCAGGCAACGAGGGTCTCTGTCCGTCTCCTGGTGCAGGTATTACCAAAAATTAGATGCAATGAAACTTCTTAATTAAATTCTTTAGCTGTAAATTGAATTAAATAACGCACGTAGATGTAATGAAGCATCTTTAGTTCGTTGTACGTGATAATTAATTTTATTGAAATTCGTACACGTGAATGACGAAGATGTAAGGCCCCGATAGAACTGCAGCAGCGTGCGCCTGATGTCCCAGACGACAATCACGGCCTCGAGGATTAAGATTCGGTGTCTCATTTCCCCGAGATATTGAGTGATGAGACGCGGCAGACATGTCCGCTGTTGCGTTCAGAGAAGTTTTGTTCTCACGGAATGACCCTCCAACCCACATGTGCACGCACCGACCACTGCTCAGCACGTATGTCGGTCTGGTGGCCGAGTGGTTGCTGCTATTAAGTGTATGTGCCAGGAAGACAATAAACACTCACTTAACCATTATTACTCTGATCATCAGCAACCTTCTCAACACCACAAAAAGCATGTTAGCCCATACTTGTTGAAGCACGTTTGACTACACATAAAAGAATGTTTGACTACACGCCACTGGTAAAATCACCGGGATCAATAGAATTGGAGCAGATTTACCACTACCAATTCTTTCTACGATAATGAATGATTTCATTCATGGGAGAGCGATGGCGTACCGGTTAGTTTCACTTGTCCTGGAAATAAGGAGCTTGATGTTCGGCTGTGTTGCTTGTGTTATGAATGTGTTGCTCGTGTTATAAATGTGTTGCTTGTGTTANAATGTTTGGGCTACTCCTAGCAAACATATTTTCGACTTAAAGCATCCGTTACAAGTTGATAATGAACTATTAGTGAGTGCATATGATGTACTCGATAATATTAGTGTCAATAACTTCGTTAATTTGTCTCGCTCATCTGTACCTTTATACTTTTTAACGTGCTTCGAATAAAATAGAAAGAATAAATACATCTTAATAACGATAGTTAAAGTTTATCTTACACTGAATTGCGTCTTTGAAACTCTTGAAGTTACAAAACCGCCTCGAACGCGCATGCCTGCGACGTCGTAATACCACACCTCTTTATCACTCCAGTGACAGAACCATCGCCAGGTTCAAGGAACTTCATTTTTATGAAGGAACAGAAAAGCCGAGGTCGCATTTCGCCTGCTTGTGGTTGCGACGTCTTTAAGGTTCAATTTTTCACGCCTGCGACCGATGATTAGAGCTAGCAAAGCGAGGCTACGAATTTAGGAAGCTTCGAACTAACATTTTTCCGGGGCTAGATGTGGAGACGAAATTAGTCTAGTGCTTCTTGCGGTCATTTTTCGTTTAAATCCCATTAAAGCTGAACAACACTACATCCGTACGATAGATCTTGTCATGTCACTTTTATTGCTAACACGATCCTGTGGTGGCAACTTTGTATTTAAACAAGAATTTGTGGACGGCTGTAGCGAGTCAACATTTTTACTTAAAATTTGTTGTAGTGACCGACCACTTTTAAGCCTCCAGTCCTATCACATCTCAAGAAAAAATAATAATTGTACTCTAATTGACCTCAGTTTGGATTTATAATGGGAACATTAGTTTTAGAACGTTTGAAGTAACACCTCAATTTTTAGTAAGATTTTTATGCTCCTACCACAGATATTATTCAATATTTATATTAATAAATATGATTTATTTGCTTTAAATTTGTTCATATTTTTTCAGATCATCACAATGACTTCAGATTCATGGCATGTGCTACGGCCGTTGCTGGTGCTCCTGTTGGCGTCTTCATGTGCAGGTGAAACAAATATTCCTTAATGGTCCTTATCATTAAGAAAAAGCTGTCTGGTCCTAACCATTAAGAAAGAGCTGTCTGATCCTAACCATTAAGAAAGAGTTCTCTGATCCTAATCATTTAGAAAGAGCTGTCTGATCCTAATCATTTAGAAATAGCAAATAGCTGTCTGGTCTTAACCATTAAGAAACAGCTGTCTGATCCTAATCATTTGGAAAGAGCTTTATGGTTCCAACCATTCATGAGCTGTCTCGTCCAAGTCATAATGAAATAGCTGTCTGGTCTAAATCATTGAATGAAAAACCTTTTATTTCATTGTAGATTGTTCTCTACCTCATTGTAGAGAAAGTAGATTTTGCTAGCACTGATCAGGTAAGAACGGAAATTAAAAATGATGCTTATAATTGTTGTTAAAAGGGTAAAAATATTTATTGGTTTAAAGTTGAGAATTAGTTCGATATGAGCGGGGGAAATTCTAAGCCGCTTGATCGAAAGGTCTGGTTTGGAAGTCTTCTGCTTTTAAAAACATGTTACTGTGAACTGTGAAGATCTATATTATGTGTTTTTTAATTATGATTATAACGAGCATCATAAAACTTCTACTTCGAACTGAAACTTAAAATTCGAACTGTATTCACAGATTGTAATTTGTAATTCTTTCAGTAATCTCGCACAGTTGCTTAGTAATAATTGAGGGGAAAATTATAAATTAATTATTGAGCATCACATTAGGAGCTTGTTAGTAGTAACTCATTATGCACTGCATGATGAGTTGAGCTATGTTACACGCTGGTGCGATATGAATAATAATTCATTATGCACTGCATGATGAATTGAGTTGTGTTACACGTTAGTGCGATATGAATAATAATTCATTATGCACTGCATGATGAGTTAGTTATGTTACATGCTGGTGCGTATGAATATCACGTGTGGCATTTCACAGGCCGCACTGCATTCGAGAAGCTGACAGAGTACGACTTCCGAGGCACCACTTACTACACCATCCAGAACCTGTCGCTGTGGGAGTGTCAGGGGTGGTGCAAGGAGGAACCAGAGTGCGCCGCTGCGTCTTTTAGGTGAACGTCCTCATTATTTGCGACAACTGTTACTTAATGATGCAGTATCTTGACAATTAAACTAGTTTTGAAGGACCCGAGTAAAGGAGATGAATTCAATAGAAGCCGCTCGATACTAAAAAATTCTATCAGGAGCGGGGTGAGGCAAAGTCCAGCACCAAAACCCATTAGTGGGTGCAGAAGAAGCTGATCTTTTTGCCTTTTAAGTATGAAATTAAACAAAAATTTATCGTGCCCAATGTTTTGCTCTGAGATTATCGAACAATACAGAATTTTGTACTCAATTGAATTAATTATATTGATGTTCTGTGTATGTATCGATTGTGTTATGAATACAATAGTGTGATAACTTACATAAACTTTACTGGTATTTTGTTCATGCTAGAGGGTTGAATTTTGGACGTATCCCTCAGCGATAGATATTATTAACTTAGGAAATTAACTTCATGGCCCATAACATGTATCATAAGTTCAAGTATGAGTTTCGATTGAACTGAATAGTTTTTACTTAATCGCGCTGTTGTACTTCAGTTTCGTGATCAACCCGCTGGCGCCTGTCCAAGAGACGCTCTGCTTGTTGCAAAACGAGACCATGGCTGCCAACCCCTCGGCCGTACCTAAGCGAGCCGTCAGCCTCTACTACATGATCAAGCTCACCGTCCGCAGCGGTGAGTTCACTTCAGTTCCTGCACTTGTTTCCGGTGACATTTTTCACAACAGTTCATAGTGGTTGGCTGACCTACTGTTGTTCCTGATCTAATGCTTTAAAGTTAATATTTTATAAAACGTGATGCTTCGTTTTTTTACAGAGCATGCTGTATATTATTTGATTAACTTTTATTTAAAATAAGTTTGCATGATTTATTTATTCGATAATGCGGTGCTATAATCAATAATGGTTCATTGCAAACAATTACTTTCGAACGAAATCATGACCATGGAGCATTAATTTTCAGCACATTGAACGTTAATTTACCACGGTAAATCTGCGATGTAAAATGTAACGTAAACATGCGCGTTTACAGCGCCTCGCATTGTATACGGAGGCGTTGCTTCCTGCCGCCGATCCATGAAGTTAGAATAAGATTAACCGCGGGGGGAAGGCCGCTGCTGGAGCGCCGTGATATCGCCCCTTTTTCTCCGTAACCCTATCAAAATTTTGAGTTGGTGGCGACCCTGAATTAGGAACCGCCTAAGTCGGCAAGGAGGTTTTGACTAGTCGCTGATTGCGATCAGGTGGCCAACCAGACCCAGAATAACTCTAACGCGAACATAGCAACTCTGGGGCGGAGGCTGAAGCATACCCCGAAATTTGATAGGGTCCTTGCTGCCGCCGCCTCTAATGTACTGGGTTTTCGATCGCACGTTCAGAGCTGATCTCGGCACGAATTTGACTAAATTTATTATCATAACTAGGAATTATTACTCAATCAAGAAAGAAGTAATTCAAAGTGGTTCATCATACTGCTAATATCAATTTCAAATATTTCCTTGACAAGTTACGTGAGAAAATATATATATATATTTTTTCAAAATGCGAAACCCGCGATGGAGAATCGACGATCACTAACAAACGACCATGCACGTGTCAACTTTAATATATTGGTTCGCGATACCACCTCCATGGAATATATTCACTCATGTAATGAATACGCTCGTCATCCCGCGACTTTCCCTCCACATATTTTATCGTTTCCTGAAACAAATCCGCGTGAACAAATAATTGCAAATAAAGTATAAATGCGAAACGCCGTTGTCGAGATCACGGAAAATCAATGGCGCGAGAAAGCAGCGGGGAAGCAATCGCGCTCGATGCGCTCTGATTCCTAAGTGATAATTCTGTGAAATGTAAGCTTTATCATACGGTGCTTGGCGCTTATTAAGCTTTATCATACGGTACTTGGCGCTTATTATACGGGCTGAGCCGTTGATGTCGTTAGGACTTTCTCCACCCACTGTTCGCGATCACGAGGAATGCAGTTATTTCTTGGTTTGCGTTGAAAGGAAAATGTTTGTTATAATTTTATCAACCTCCCTAGAATTGGCATTTAGCATTTTTTAATCGAAATGATCTTCCTAATCTTGATTTTTGATGATTTTAAGTGCGTAGTTTGAGGAGTTTTGATCGCAAATTCGCCCTTCCGTAGAGCGAATCTTATTCCATAGATTCCAAAACTCTCTTATTCCATAGATTATTCATCTAAATTTTAACCGATAACTCTCGCGTTTTCAGGCATAATAATTGGTTTAACTGCTTCTACCACGTCAATGTTTTCATAATTAAGTCAGTCCGCAAAGATTGAATCGTTTTTGTTTCAGATGCAAAAAAACTACAAATTGATTACTATCAAGTGCGCCGACTGAAATCCGTTAATGACTGGGACTAAATTCACTCATCAATGAAGTGAAATCCGAACTAACGATCATCAATCAACCTGTCATCAACGAACACGCGTCGCGATGTGGTCCATGTTTCCACACGTTTTTATCGTCAACGAACACATGTCACGATGTGGCTCCATGTTTATACACGTTTTTATCGTCAACGAACACTCGTCACGATGTGGCTCCATGTTTATACACGTTTTTATCAGCAACGAACACTCGTCACGATGTGGCTCCATGTTTATACACGTTTTTATCGTCAACGAACACTCGTCACGATGTAGCTCATGTTTATACACGTTTTAGCTCCATGTTTATACACGTTTTTGTCGTCAACGAACACTCGTCACGATGTAGCTCATGTTTATACACGTTTTTATCATCAACGAACACTCGTCACTATTTGTGGCTCCATGTTTGTTGCCACCTGTTATTTGTTCGACTCACATTTACCGGCCGACGAATACACTCTACAGTTATATATTTTTTGATAACTTAATTACATTACTCAATAGTGTGCCGTATTTGTCAACTTGGGGAAATTTCCGCAAATTTCCGTAAATCAGTGACTTAATTATGATAAAATTTCGTGGTAGAAACAGTTAACTCAATTATTATACCTGATAACATGACATGAGAGTTATTGGTTAAAATTTATATAAATAATCTATAGAACGAGAGTTTTAGCAACAAGCGATGCAGTAAAGAAATCACCTAGGGAACGGCGAATTTGCAATCAAAACTCCTCGAACTACGCACTTAAAATCATTGAAAATCAAGATTTGGAAGATTGTTTCAATTTAAGAACCGGAAGGTTTACACTGTACAGTAACGCCCTTGAAAGTTCGACAGACCAACCGTGCCACATTTATTCAATAATTAAACCATGTGCGTATTCTTTCGATTAATTTAATATATAATGGACTGCTGAACTATGCATGTATAAATCGTTTTGATATCGTTTTTATTAAATTCATTACGTTTCGGAAGATTATTGAAATCAGTAATTGTCACAACTATATTACTTATGTATATAAGACGTATAATTAGTATATCATTGTATTGTACTGATGTATATAAGACGTATAATTAGTATATCATTGTATTGTACTGATGTATATAAGACGTATAATTAGTATATCATTGCATTGTACTGATGTATATAAGACGTATAGTTAGTATATCATTGCATTGCTCTGTAATGACAGTCGTGGTGTATTTCAGACAACGTGTGCAACCGGCCGTGGCAGTTCGAGCGAGTGCCCAGCAAGCGGCTAGCAGGGCTGGACAACGCGCACATACACGCCAACAGCAAACAGGACTGTCTGGCCGCCTGCCTCAACGAGGTAATGAACCCTGATACTTTCATTAATATGTTTGTTGGTTATGTAGCTATAACTACAAGTTACTTACAATGATTTTGAGAACGTTCCAACAGCAAACAAGACTGTCTGGCTGCCTGCCTCAACGAGGTATAATGACTCCTTCTGATACTTTCAATAATATGTTTGCTAGGTTATGTAGCTATAACTACAAGTTACTTACAATGATTTTGGGGACGTTCCAACAGCAAACAGGACTGTCTGGCTGCCTGCCTCAACGAGGTAATGTACCCTGATACTTTCAATAATATGTTTGTTGGTTATGTAGCTATACCTACAAGTTACTTACAATGATTTTGAGGACGTTATTAAAATCTTTACAAATTTTGGTGCTGTCCGCCTTTCGACATTTATGCTACGGGGGATTATAATAAAGTCAATAATATGGATAATAACTGGTTCGGCGAAAGTCTTTAGACAATTCAATATGACCATTACACATTCTACTATTCAAATAATACTACTTACACGATTGCAACATTTATTTTCAGGATAATAGATCCAGTCACAGTTATATAATATTAAAATGGTATCGGTATATAAAATGTTATATTAATTTTAAAATCGTAGAGAGTTTCCTTATGTTAACAATAATTAAAAAATTCATATAAATCTTTGGCTGTCTCACCCTGAATTTTTATATTAACAATTGACTAACTAAATCTTGAATTAAATCCAAGACAACAACGAGCATGGACTGAGAGCTCGTTATTAATAGTTAAACATGATTACCAAGACAACAATGATCACTAAAAGCTCGTTATTATTAGTTAATAATGCTTACCAAGACAACAATGATCACTAAAAGCTCGTTATTATTAGTTAAGCATGCTTACCAAGACAACAATGATCACTAAAAGCTCGTTATTATTAGTTAATCATGCTTATCAAGACAACAATGATCACCGAGAGCTCGTTGTTATTAGTTATTCATGCTTACCAAGACAACAATGATCACTGAGAGCTCGTTATTTCACTGCCCGCAGAAGCGGTTCGTGTGCCGCAGCGCGGAGTACAGCTACGCGACTCTGCAGTGTCACCTCAGCGAACACGACCGTCGCACCGTCGATGCCGGCGTCGGCCTCGAGGACGCTGCCGGGGTGGACTACTTCGAGAACCTGTGCCTTGGAGGTGAGACCTTGGGGCATGGGGTCTGAACATGGGTTACGGGGTCTAAAATCGGAGCTGAGAACCTGGGAAATTATGTGAGAGCATAGAACTAGAAGGTAGAACTTTGGACCTGCCTGTAAAACCTGGGTTCATAGAGCGACCACTTGGAACATGGCCGAGTGACACCAGGATAAATGGGTGTCAACCTAGGACACGGGGGAGTGAATATGTGACGACTTGACGGTGAGAACCCGGGATTTGTCGGTAGGATTCTGTGACTTGGTAGCAAGAACCTGATAAATGGGTTGTGAACCTGGACCTTGGAGTGAGAGTCTCAGACTTGGAGATGAGGACATGGAACAGGAGGTTGCCTACTTAGGACTTGCCTGGATGGAGATGCGTATAGGAGATGACATCTGTGGCCTCGGTGGTGAGAACCATAGTCTTAAAGCCAAAAACTTTCATCGCATTAATGTACGAGTATCCAATCCGTTAATGTACGAGTATCCAATCCGTTAATGTACGAGTATCCAATACGTTAATGTACGAGTATCCAATCCGTTAATGTACGATTCTCATTGTGGGTGAGGCATAAGCACATTGTGTTGTCTGAATCATATTAGATTACCAAACAGCAAAATCATTGGCGTTAGTTTTTCCTAGTATTGTTTTATTAGTACTATATAATTTTGTTTGAATTTTAATGATAGTTAAATTTTTCAGCTTCTGATAGTTGCCGCACGGATCGCACCTACAAGCAGCCGTCGCTCGGCGTTCCCGAAGATCAGGTCTCTCACTACGTCGACATGCATTACTACGTCGACAAGGAGGTTATGGTACGCAATCAATGCTTCCATTTACGCACAACTAACACTGAACGTTTCATTAATTTTTTCGCCATCTCATCATTCCCTTCTAACTATCTGGCGTGATGTCTGATTTATTTTGGATTTTTTCTAAAGATCTGTCAACATCTTGCAGATGCCCTTTTGAAGCTAAAAATTCAGTAATGATGAATCCATCTTCTCTGAACTCAATATTGTGAAACAAGTTCTAATCCAAAAGATTAGGTAGGTCTTTCAATAAATTTTGTGGCGTATCTTCCAAAATTTTCTAACGATCGCTGTTTTTTCGCGGCAGAACGACCGTTTCTAGGCAGAGCAGAGCAATGTGCGATAACGTCTGTTGGTTGAATGTTGTGTTTTTATTATTTGTCGGTTTACTACCACCATCAGAATGAGTTACAGAGGAAGGCATACTGGGAAAGCCAATACAAGTGTTGTAGTTTATCAATAGCATAATTGTTATCATCATTCAAATGGTACGTCTTGGCAAACACGCAGGCCAACAGCGTAGCTGCGTGCCAACGCGCTTGTGAGATCGAAACGGACTTCTTGTGCCGGTCCTACCTGTACAAAGGGCCGCCCTCGACCAACAGTCACAACTGCCAACTCTTCCATCTGGACCATTACACGCTTCCTGACGGCGCTGACACGTACCAGTCCACTGATAGGTATGATGAGTCGTACTGATAGGTATACTGATAGGTACGATGAGGGTCAGCGCTTTGATACTTCTTAGAAAATCGGTGATAGTTAAAGATTGAAAACAAATTTGTCAATATCATTGTATTCAATGGGTTATTTATTATATTGCATTCCGTCTACTATGTTCTTCATAAGATTACTTCGCATACAATATGTTCCTCACTGAATTTCAGTGTATCTAATCCATCAACTGTGGCTTGTGCCGCTAGAGATTCATTGGGACTTGTAGTTTGCGAGCCGTCAGTAATTAGTCTCAGATTCTTCAGACTAGTTATTGGCGTCTGCTTAGGACTGCCACGAGTCGTTTTATGAGTTGTCTTAACTTATGTGCGTCATCTTTTACAGACCCTTGCTGGACGATGGCGAAAGAACAGGCACCTATTTTGAGAATGTGTGCGCACGTAAGTACTGATAAAGTATTTTCCTGCCTTTAGCTTAGCATGACTGATTCGATTTTCTTCATGGAGCACTCGAGAAAACACCATGTATTTATTGAGTTTTTTTTTGGTGGTGCACCATTTAGAAATGTTTTCACTTAGTTCCTTTACTTGCTCACGAGCCTCTCCTAAAGGCTGTCGCACCAGCGCGCATGCCTTCACTTATATACATAGTCCCTTCAATAGTTCACAAGAGTCCTTTAAGGGGCTCGTACTAGTGCACATGCTCACATTTGGTCTCTGCACTAGTGCACATGCTCACATTTGGTACCTGCACTAGTGCACATGCTCACATTTGGTACCTGCACTAGTGCACATGCTCACATTTGGTCTCTGCACTAGTGCACATGCTCACATTTGGTCTCTGCACTAGTGCACATGCTTTTGATTAGTCTTTTCACCAGTAAAGATGCCTCCACTGGGCTTCTGCACTAGTACAGTTACTTTCATTCGGCTTCTGCACTGGTACAGATACCCTACTCGGCTTCTGCACTAGTTATTTTTGTTCTTTTAGACGCCAAATTCTCAAATTTTCTCCTTTTTTAAAATGTTTATTAATGAAAGATAACTCCCACAGCGTTTTGTATGTATTATAAACTCCTTTCTTGGATGCTGAACTTTTTTTTTGCCTTTTGTACCTATCTTACCCTGTTTTCATTGATATGTCTTTTGTAAACTTTGTATGTCTTTTGTAAACTTTGTTATGAAGTGTTTAGGTGGGTCATAAGTATCCTTTCGAAAATATTTATGAGAAGAAATTTCAAATTGAAGACACGGAAGCAAATAAAACAACCAAAGTTGAAATTTCAAAATCAAAGAAAAGATTTCAAATTTGACGCACCATTTAAATGAGAATAAATGAGAATAAATGAAAATAATTCTATAATGAAAAATCATTTAAATTATCACCGTTACCATAATCAGACAAATGATGACGAACTTTCACAAGCGTGTTTGACGGAACTTTTTTTGACCCACTATAGATAAGAGGGTAAACTTTGTTCATTCTTTAGAAGCAATTCACTCTCATCGATCGTTGATGGTGAGAAGCCAGACTTAAAAATTTCAGTATAAACTCAGCATAGAGGATCTTTAAACATTATTGTGATTGCAGCGAATCGGCATTCAGTTTAAACTAACGTTCCACTGGATGTTCTATGGAAAATATGAACATCGCCATCGGAAATGCACGCTATTTTTTGGCAATTCTAGGAAGTTATTAAAAACATTTATGGACTCTTAGTCAAATATATTGTCTTTCTCTATGGTGAAGCCCAAATCGAACAATGAATCGCGTTTTGCATCTTTAAAATATTTTCAGTAAGTTTACTTTGATTACCTTAATTATAACGTTTACAAAAGGTAGCTTACTCGATCGTGACTCACCTAAGACGTTGAATTTACCTTCTCCTTACTTTACCTTCTTGAATTTGTCGTGCGTTTTACTTGAGTGAAATCTGTCGATTTATATACTTGACACCAGGATAATTTTCGTCTTTTGACTTTATTTAAACCATGTGCAAGTCTGCTCATTTTACTTTATTAACATTATTGACGAAACTTGCTTCCCACTGTCCATTCATGCTTCTGTTGTGTTCTTAGCCTTTGAATCCGCGTTTTCTGAGGGACTCGCACGAAATGTTATAGAATGTTTTTATTTTACTTCATTTTGCGAGGAAACCGGTGAGGCAATCCACCTCGAATACGCAAATCTTGCCTGAGTCTTGAATGCTGATGAAGAAATGGAGCGTCACCGTGAATGCTCATGGACATCTTATTTCTAGCATGTCCCATCAATAAGGAGTTTTCATTACTATATCGAGCAAAGATGTTTTCTTACTGAATTTTGTCAATTTTCCGGTCACAATAAAGCATTTCAACAATACCTAAATATTAATTGGAATTCTAAAAATTAATTCAAATTATTATTGTTTTCACGATATTTGGCAATGTTTGCGTTTTTCTTGGTTGTATGAATCTTTGACCGACAAACTCGACTTAATCCTTTTCCTAAACTGTCATTTTCAGGACGGAATTACAATATGATTTGCAAGCAGGTGACCACCAGAGATAAGAGATATATCACTCAAATTATGTGCTTTGACAAGTCCACAATCGGACGGCGACGAGTCCTCGCGAGCCGAAAAAATGGCCAATTCACAAACAGGGGTAAGAAAATCAGGCTTGCGTACTAATTTTGTTGTCGGAAACCTTGTGGTGCTGGTCCATGGCCTGCTGACAACGAAACAGCATGAAAGTCTTTTTCTTCCTTATGTTCGTCGACGAGAAAACTGTTGAATATTTGTGCATACTTTGTAATGCGCTGTACAGCCTTTCGCTCAACCCGCTGTACATTGTTTGGCATGAGCTGCAACGTTTTGTTTTTGACCAGCTGTATATAATGGACATACTTCGGCATGCGATGGATGGATTGTGACCGGCTGAATGTAAATACTCTGGCATGAGCTGTTACGCATTCTGCTTGATTTATTGTACATACTTTTACGTTAGATGTACAGCTTTGTGCTCGACTAACTGTACATACTCTGGTATGAGCTGTCATGCTGAGTGCAGGATAGCATTGCGCCCAACCATTTGTAAATACTTTTGCATGCGTTGGACTGCATTGTGCTCGACCAGTTGTACATTTTGAACATTGACATGGCTTGAAGCGTTTGTGCTTTGAGGTCTCGACTCTTTACCTCAATTAATTACTAAATATTCATCAATGACTGAAATGGCTTTATTTTGTAATTCTTTCACCATCATAATTAACTCGGTAGGTTTTGAGGTTCTTCAAGGCGTGCTTCAAAAGTCAATTTTATGTTTCGAAAAAAGGTAGCAGTTCTTCATTTCTTCTCCAGTCAACATTTAATTGTCCCTATTTTTTATCATAGCCACTTTTTATGCTTTATTAACCTAAAAATTAGTGGTTAATTCATTTGTGTAATAGTTTGTCAACTCATTACTTGGATGGTCCAATTCATATGTAGAATTCGGTTGTTATCGCTCAGCAAACTTTGAGGAGGTTGTAACGATGGCATTGAGATACGTTAAGCCGAATAAATGTTAATTGTTAACATTAATATCAGCTTCTTAGTTACAACATAGAATGCGATCATTAGGAGATAATAACTAAATGTATTAGAATACAAGTGATACAGAATCATTTTAATTGAAACATTTCTTGTACTTTTAATTTATTATGAAAAAAAAAAAATTCATCGACGTTTTGCCGGCTTCAAAGACGTTGCCTTTTCTTCCATTTCATCTTTATGTTCCTCTTAATATTGACTCTTCCTGTTCTTTGGTGTTATAAAAGTTTAAATTTGTTATTTTTCGGGTTATCTTAAGTTCTGTATTTTCGGGCTTCTTGAATTGCATCTTATCTTCACTATAATTGCTCCCAGCTGCAACTCGTGGCAGCAGTGCAAACAGCCCAATCTAGAGGCACCGGAAAAACGATCAAGTCTTAGACTCCTGCGTTTGGTATTTTTTTCAATCCGAGACGAGACGAGACAGTAGGCTCTGTCCCGGTTCGCAATAAAAACCGGGACAATTTTCAGCCCTCCGTAGGAATTCCGGGACGATACCGAGACGAGACGAGACATCCCGGTTAAAATAGGTACCTTAAAATTTCCCGGAATTTACAGCCATTTTAACGAGGCACGGTTCATAATTTACCGGGACACAAGTTTTAAAGTCCGGGACAGAATTCTTGTCTCGGTTCATACGTTTATTCCGGGACAAATTTTACCCTCTGTCCCGTTATTTTTTTCCCGGAATTTTCTCGTCTCGTTTCGTCTGTCCCGGTTCATTTCGAGAAAATTATTTCGAGACGCAGGAGTCTATCAAGTCTCCAGTAACAGAATTAATATGACGCTGCAACTGATATAAATCATTCAGCCAACTCACGAAGAAAGTTCAAGTTTACTCGAATCGGGTACATAATGTTCAAGTTGAGAAGCGAATTTTTCAGGCCATTAACATAATTAATATGACCCTGCAACTGATATAAATCATTCAGCCAACTCACGAAGAAAGATCAAGTACTATCGAATCGGTACAAAATGTTCAAGTTGACAAGCAAATTGTTCAGTAAACATTTCTGTACTGAAACTTTTGGACGCAAAATATTTATAGACATCGCAATAAAAAAAATTGAATTATAAGCATGAAAGAAAGTAAAATTTAACTCCGGAAAAGCTTTGTGGTTTTCAAGACTTGATTTGAATGCTCGCTTTTGGATTTCACTGCATGCCGTATAAAATGCCGCTCGCAGGGAGAATTTCCTTATTATATACCTTGGTCAAATATTTCATTCGAGTATGATTATTTCATACGTGTGTGATCTTTTGTTGTTATTATTTTTAAACCTTTTCTATTTATCTAATATTTTGTGATATTATCTGAAATTATAAATATTTCTGAGTGTTTGTAAAGATGGTTTTCTCTAACGCACAAAAAATATGTATAGAAATTACGTAGAATTCTTAGATATCCCACTAACAGTTTGATTAAATCTGTCTATAAATTTAAAAAAAAAACTCGTGCATGTAGCGCCTAATTCGATTCAGTTCCGAAGAAATGTGTAAAAATTTTTGACTCCAAGTAAAAATTGTCTCTGTAACGAGTACTTTGTTCTGAAAGAATTCATTGTCCAAAAAGATATAAATTTGTCAGCGTGATTTTGCGTTAGTATATGACGTACGAGTACACCTTCCGAATTGAATCGCATTATTCATAACCAATTCCTTGATGTGTTCCAACATCGTCTTAAAATTCAGAGGCACAAAATTTATCAATTGAAATGAGTTCCTATATCAGGTTATATATCAATTAAGTTCAGATTCTTGGAATATTTTTTATTCGCAAATTTGTATTCAATCAGACAAAAACATAAATTTTATTCCTCTGAATTTTGCTGCACAGGAATCGTGTGAGTAACCTGCAGTCTGTAGATCTTAATGTTAAGGATGTTTGGGTGTTTTTTCCAGGAACCCTGGACGATTCTAGTAACGCTAGTGCGATGACTGGACAGCTGACTGGATCTAGCAATGACACAGGTAGTGGACTAATTAGTGGTTCGACTAATGTTGGTTCGGTTGGAGGAGGGGTTGGCAGCGTTGGGTATGGTACTCAGGTGGGCATAGGTGGAGGTAGCGATGCTGGAGGATCATCTGGTGGTTTAGTTGGTTCAGGACAAACTGTGGTTGGCGCTTCTGGATCTGGTTCTATTGTGACAGGAGGAAATGACATAACGAGTGGAGTTCAAACTCTTCCCGGATTGCTAGGGCAGTTCGGATCCAGCTCTTTGGGTACTGGCGTCCAACAAGGTGGTGTAGCAACACAGCCAGGTACAATCGGTCTGACAACATACCCAGCAGGATCTTTGACAGGAGGGACTTCTTCAACTAGTGGATCCTCGAGTTCCTCCAATTTGCAAATTACAAGTAGTGGATCACAATCAAGTGGTAGCTCTCAATCTTTGGACAGCATCTCGCAAGCCGCAAGTAGTTCCCAATCATCCAGTGCTTCTCAGTCTACGAGTAGTTCTCAATCGAGTGGTTCATCCCAATCAAGTAGTGCATCATCTGCGATTTCGGGTTCTTCTTCATCGAGCACATCTCAAGGGTCTACCAGTTCACAAGCATCAGGTGTCAGTGGCAGCAGTAGCTCGTTGTCCACAAGCGGGTCCGTATCAAGTGGGAGCAGTTCTCAGTCCACCACCGGTGGTGGTCTTGTGTCGACTTCTCAGTCTGGATCCTCGCAATCAGGTTCATCAGTTACCTCTTCATCGGGATCATCCAGCGCAAGTTCTCAATCTGGATCTGTCGCAAGTTCTGCTACTCAAAGTAATGTGAGCACAGGTACACAAAGCGGATCATCTTCCAGTTCCACATCTCAAAGCGGAGCGTCATCAAGTTTAACCTCTCAAAGTGGATCATCTTCCAGTTCTACTTCTCAAAGTGGGTTATCATCCAGTTCTACTTCTCAAAGTGGGTCATCATCCAGTTCCACCTCTCAAAGTGGATCATCTTCCAGTTCAGCCTCTCAAAGTGGGTTATCATCCAGTGCCGCCTCTCAAAGTGGATCATCATCCAGTTCTACCGCGGGGGGATCATTCATTTCTATCTCTCAGGGTGGGTCGAGTGGTGTGTCTCAGGGAAGCAACGCGGGTTCCCAGTCTTCTCTAACATCCACTATTCAGAATTCGACTGCGGGAGGATTTTCGAGCATTCAAGGCAGTGGTTCGTCGAGTCAGACTGCTGGGCAAAATTTAGGTAGTCAATCATCAACTGGGATTTCTAGTGGTTCAGGGCAGTCGGGGTCTGGGGTATCGTTGACAGGACAGACGGGAACTGACGGAACTGACAATACTGGACCTGTAGTTTATCCTGACGCTTTTCCTGGAGGTGGTCCCGTCGGCGCTTCCATCACTGGTGAATCTGGCTATGGAGGAGATTCGGCTTCGTCCTCCACCTTCTCTCCTGATCCTGATAGCGGAACATCCGATGGCGATTCAGGAGACATCAATTGTGATCCAACTGGAGTTTGCTACGATGGTAAGTGCCATTCAATGCCACACTTTGTTATGAACAGCAACGGTAGATTGTCTTCCATAACATAGATTTCAAGAGTATATATATATTTGACTGAAGTTTCATTTTCAATTCCGTTCCTATATAAAGTACTGAGAGAAATAGACATAAATTGCAACGAATTAAAATTGTGCATTCATTTGATTAATTGGAAATTTCTCTTTCAATTTACGAGGAAAAGTACGAAATTTTCTAACTTTTAAATCGAAACAAAATTATAAATTACACATCTGCATTTGATGACCAGTTTAATAAAATACTGACCGGGTCCGTTTCAATTTTCATTCAATGGTCTTCTTCCACTACCGGTTGTTTTTTCCTAAATCATAAACTGAGTATCTATGTATTGTACATAAAATACATGATTATTCTTATTTCAGTGTCGGTGCACTGTAAGGACACTCGCATCGCTGTAGAGGTGGCCACCAACCGGCCTTTCAACGGCCGCATCTACGCCCTCGGTCGCTCCGAGACCTGCAACATCGCGGTCATCAACTCTGATAAATTCAGGCTGGACCTAACCATGGCGGGGCAAGACTGTAATACGCAGAGCGTTGTGAGTTATTCTGAACTAACAGATACACTGTTAGAAAAAAACGGTGAAAAAACGGTCCCACTGGCGTTCTAGTGGCCGGTCGCCCCGTGAAAATAAACTGTTGCGCCGTTTTTATCAGATGTTTCACGGATTTTTAGTGTTAAATTAGAATAAAAACGGCGACACGGTGTTTCTTTCACGTGCCGACCGGCCACTAAAACGCTGGTATAATACCGTTAACGGTAATTTTTCTAACAGATATGTTGTTATCTCTGACGACTTCCAAGGTATTATAACCTCGAGTCTAGTTACCTGCGAACCTGAGGTTTTTCTGATCTGCAACAGCCCGCGGATGGCAATATGCTTCAATTATTTTTTATTAAATTAAACTTAACATCATGATTTACTGTTTATTAATTTTTTTACACACGTCCAGTAAATATCAATAAGATTGAATAAAATCGCTTGGTAGATTATTTTACCAATCTCTATGTGTTGTTGTTCGTTTTGCAGAACGGAGTTTATACGAACACGGTGGTTATCCAGCACCATTCCGTCGTCATGACCAAAACGGACAAAATTTACAAAATTCGGTGCACATACGACATGTCACCAAAGAACATCACCTTCGGAATGATGCCAATCAGGTTAGAAAATTTACATATAAATTCTACTTAATATTTTTTTTAACATTATTTATTCGACTCGGAGTTGAGACAATTTACATATAAATTTTACTTTATATTTTTTTAATATTATTTATTCGATTTGGAGTTGAAGCATCAAATTGATGCAACGAATCGCCGCAGCGCCTGTTTCTACAGGCATTGTTTGAAAATTATTTTCCGATGTGTGCGTGCTGCTGCACGAGTACCGTGTGGCATATACAAGCATTAATTCCGTAAGCCTAGAACGTTCAAGCCTTACGAAATTACATAAATTATTCTGTGAAATGAACAATTTCTTCATTGCTACTAAATGAATTTCGTAATTCGCAGAATGTTCTAAAACTGCTATTATGTCGACAAGTAATTGACAAAATTTTCATCGATAAAAAGATCTCGATGAAATTGTAATCCTAATTGTTTGCCCTCACTCACAGGGAGTATTAGGAACATAATTTTTGAACTCTTTGCTTTGAATTTAAAATAGATGCCCCTTATGATATATTTATTGTTCGCGAGCACCGTTTAATGTCAATCGAATGAATGTTGTTGCTTCGCCGCGTTGAGTGAAGTGCAGACATTCCGTGAAGAAAGTCATCGATGCGTCAGCAAACTCAATGGTTTCTTGCAATTGAAAAATCGTCCTTTTTTAATTGAATATGAAACTGGAGGATGCTCTCATTATTTTTCTTCTTTCTCCATGCCTATCATCTTAATATTCCCTTATATATATATTAATATAATGACAGTAGCCAGCCATGACTGCTGTTTTTAAGGCCAACCTCAAGTTGAAATTTAAGAATTCGTTTAGACTAAAATGATATTTTGTGGACAGACAAGATGGACTCGGAGAAGACGTCTCGAACAGACTTGTGGTTCGGTAAGGTTGACATTGTTATTTTTTATAAATTCTTTTAAACACTCTGGACAGACGGTTACCAAACATTTTTACAATAAAACACAAAGATGAGTGACTTCGGACATGCCATAATAATAAAGAAATTACGTTGAAAAAGTTGTCTGATGTTCTAAGAACAAGTAAATTGCAATTGGGGTACAATGTACATATGTCATTGGGACACGATACTATAATGGCGCTGCTTTCATTTGGTATTAAAGCCCTAACAAAATTTAGAGTCGCCCCAGCTTCTGGTAACCCAAATCAGAAGCTGCCGCGTCTGTAAAATTTCACTGCGGTAACAAAATTTAGAGTCGCCCCAGCTTCTGGTAACCCAAATCAGAAGCTGCCGCGTCTGTAAATTTTCACTGGGAGACGCCACACAAACACTTGCTAAAACAATTGACCAGTTATAACTTGTCCTTATTGCGAGGTATTTTGGGGGGCGAGGGAGGTAATTGGTTGTCCATGGGATTTATAATATTTTGTTTGGTGCATCAAATGTGTGGTTTTAATTACGTTACTTATACGAATTTCCTTGTTAACTCACACACAAGGGAAGGGATCGGCATTATTCTAGTTTATGGGACATGTTGGCAACATGCCAAAGATACATTTATTTAAAACTACGGAGTCGGTTACGTTAAAATATTGCCTTTGTATAAATGAATTGTAAATACAATAATATTTTTATTTCATTTATAAAATTATTATTTATGTTTTTTTAAATCATATATCATAAATAAGATTTTGCTCTTCTCTCTTAGGCAAAAATTCTTATAGGTAAAGTTCAGCTGATATATGTTTATGCTGGCGGTATAAGATCTCGTTAAGACTTGAGCAGAGAAAACGCCAGGTAAATCCATCATATCTTCATCGAGAATGTTTTAAAACTCAGCTCGATTCATTATCTATTAAATTGTAAGAATGAATCTACAATTAAAGGTGAAAAGACAATATAAACGAAATCCATTAAAGCAAAATGAACTAAAAAAGTAAATAAATATAAAAACAGACTGAGGAACATGAAAACCTATTTCTAAGCATTTTCATGTGAATATGAACTGAGAGCGTTTTCAAGGCAAGGTTTACCCCAAACATACAGAGATTTTAAAATCCTCTGAACTGAAGCAACAGACGTGGAAACAGAAATCTTGTAATCTCGGACAGTCAGTCGCAAAGTTCAAGACGCTTAGCAGAAAGAGGCCTACAGGTTATATCTCTAGACTTGTCCTAATGGTCAGATAACATCTAGACGTGCTCTAGTGGTGACACTCTCGGATTTCTGAATTCTTCCAGAGATTAACCAGGGATAACAAAAGGACATACCATTACATCTTCTTATGTAAATAAACATTTTGATCTAATATTTCCCTCTTATTGTCATTATTCCATCCGCAGACTCATGAATAGCGTCTAATTTTGGTAGCGGTGCTTCTCGGATATTGTTAATGTGTGGTTTTACGGTTATATTAATGGCATTGTAGATACAGTGAAATTGAACGTATGTTTTGGATTATTGCCTCTAATTTTAGACACGTAATTGGAAGATATGAATTCGTGAACTGGGAATAAAGTCAGACGAAAAATTTTTCAGGCAACTTAATTGCTATAGAAGAGCCTCATGGCGCGTGTGGCGTTGTCTCCGTGTTGGGATGTAGGAGATGAGCCGTATGCTTTAATATTGATTTTTTAGGAAAACCTTCAATGATGTTGGATTCAAATTTCAAGGTGCAATTAATCAGCAAACAGACTTCGATCCGAAAGTGCCCCCAAGATTGCATCAAGACACGTTAATTATTCCAACCCTGAAATAAAATTTATGATAGCCGTCGAAGAGTATTTTATATAGATTACCGACCGCTGGCATCCTGTTTTCATAACAGCCGCGCTTTTGTTCATTATTCCCGGGCCAGAACACGACAAGCAATTTCTTCATGACCAACAAAAAGGTCATCCGATGCAAGTTGTGTTGTATTTTCTCGGGCACGGAAACCTGCATCGCTCACACATCCGCGGTAGGGATATATCCGTGGAATTTTTGTCATGCTGTAATGGGGACTTGCGACCGATGTTGTACGGTGTTCTCGTGGTGGACTTGATGTCGGAAGTTATAGTATAGTATCTTCGGCATTAAAGAATAGGCCGGATAGGCCTGTCGCCGATTCTTGTACTTATCTTGACTAGACTGGCCTTTTGATCAGATCTTTTCAACGGACGGTAGATTTAAAAGCGCTTCTAGATATCAGTTGTTCCGTAGGAAACGAGGCATTTTAAGACTGCTGCCGTTTCGCGCTTCTAATTCTTTGCCTAACTGTGATTTATTGTATCCAGGGACCCAGACATGATCCCCATAACAAGTGCCCCCGAGGCTCCTCCTCCAAGGATCAGAATTTTGGACGCTGCGCTGCGTGAAGTCGAAACGGTCCGCATCGGGGACCGTCTAACTTTCCGCATTGAGATTCCCGAGCAAAGTAAGCATTAGTTGACCCGCCCACGGTCGTTGGTGTTGAGTATACTTTTTATGGTTTTAGTTTTGTGCTAGTTATTCACATACTAGTTATTATACTAGTATGTGATGGATTAGATTATTCCAACTATGTCATTATTAGTATTACATTTCGTACCTACTTCAGTTATTAGTGTATAGTTGATCGCCGAATTATTCTATCCTGGAAAAATTCATTTATTTTCCGCCACAAATTAAGACAGAAAAGCCACAGGACACCAAAAGCCACATGATGCTAATCTTTGCTGGGAATTAGGCGGTATCTGTGCCCCAACGAGGTGTTAATTAACTAGTTACTATTTGTTTACGATACAATTATGTCGACAGATCTAAAACCACCCTGCAGTAAATTTTGTTTCAACTCCAAAACCTGTCCGTGAACTATGATATCAAACCTTTTATTTCCAGGAATTAATTATATTTTTACTCATGGATGGAAAATCCCTTGAACGACTCCGAAGGGTCCCGCTTGGGTTTGACGTGTCGACATCGAATAGCTATAACGAATGCTTCCATGATTTCACCCTTTACCAACAATAATGTCTTCTTGCCATAAGATCTCTGCATAAATACTGAGGCTCCTTCATTAATCTCTTGATTGTTTATTGCAGCCCCGTACGGCATTTTCGCCCGTAGCTGCGTTGCGATGGCCAAAGACTCGCGCTCCACATTCCAGATCATTGACGACGACGGGTGAGAGTAGCTACCTTGTCGTGGTGGGAAGTGTGAATTATTAAGCGAGATACCGATGACCAATTGTGGCAATCCTATTTAATTCCAATGAATTGATATCAACGTGGAAGTTATAGTGAACTTAACCGGCGCCGAGTAAAAATATAATAGTAGGTATCTCTTCAAGACGGCTCGTATTAATTGAAGGAATTAGATAAGTTAAAAATGGAGCTCGATCTGTGGAACGATTGCACATATGTATTTACACAAACTTGTCTTGTAACTTGCTCTTCAATGAATTTGATTTTTATGAATTTGTCTCAATTATTCAAATCTCACTAAAAGAGATTTTTCAAATGGTGAGTTTCGGAACGGTATTGGTACATATATAAACGTAGCACAAATTGTACCTGAGTTTAAATAATTTTTCAGTTCAATGACACGAGAAATTTATTTTATCTTCAGCTGCCCAGTTGAGCCTGCCATCTTCCCCGAGTTCACGAAAGTCGGGTCAGCGCTGCAGTCCATGTACGACGCATTCCGCTTCACAGAGTCTTACGGCGTGATCTTCCAGTGCAACGTCAAGTATTGCCTTGGTTCATGCGAACCTGTGAGTATTGTATATTATTTTATTCGTACAAAACATGTATATTTTATTCGTACAAACATTGCCTTGTTTGCGGTGAAAGTATTAGTGGTGCAAGCATCCTGTTAAAAAAATTGAAAGAATTTAGATCGTACGATAGTTTGACTAAACTATCCTTGCTGGTGTCAGGCTCGCTGCAAAAACGGCCGTGACGTTGTGCGCTCCTACGGACGTAGGAAGAGGAACGTAAGAAGTCTCTCCGATGGCCGCGGTCACGTCCAAGAGACGACAAAAGAAGCCGCGCTCGCTGCTGCTGCCATTTTACCAGTAGACGCTTCTGAGGCTGGCAATGCCGAGGAAGAAATGAGCATCAGCCAAGAGATCCTTGTTCTTGATCTCGGTGAAGAGGCCGCTGATCATTTCAAAACTGATCCACACCAGGTGGTCGAAGAAGAGCCATACTACACAGCCAGTAAGTTTGTTGGTACTTCATTGACCAACTTAGAATTTGCCATGTTCTTACACCAATAATTATAATTAATTATACATTATTGTTTTCTTTGGCTACATCTGATTTGAAAAATATCTGAGGAGAAATTCTATATTATTTCTAAAATAGATTTGATTTATATATATCCTAAATTTATGTTGCAAAATAATTACGCCTCCTTTCAAGTAGTGAGTATTCATAATTTTTAATTTATTCATACGAAGTTAATCCGTAATTTGATCGTGGAATGGTAATATTTTCTCATAATATTCCAGCAAACAAAGTGAACCTCTTTGAAACGTGCCCGACCCGTTCCTCCGTGCTGGCTCTTGCCGTCACATGCGCCATCCTCCTCCTGATCTACGTGCTCACGGTCTTCTACTTCGTCATGAGGAAGTGGATCAGGCCCCAGAAGTCCCTCCGGTAAAGTGCATTAGGCCCCAGAAGTCCCTCCGGTAAAGTGCATTAGGCCCCAGAAGTCCCTTCGGTAAAGTGCATTAGGCCACAGAAGTCCCTCCGGTAAAGTGCATTAGGCCCCAGAAGTCCCTCCGGTAAAGTGCATTAGGCCCCAGAAGTCCCTCCGGTAAAGTGCATTAGGCCCCAGAAGTCCCTCCAGTAAAGTGCATTAGGCCCCAAAAGTCCCTCCGGTAAAGTGCATTAGGCCACAGAAAGCCCTCCGGTAAAGTGCATTAGGCCTCAGAAGTCCCTCCGGTAAAGTGCATTAGGCCTCAGAAGTCCCTCCGGTAAAGTGCATTAGGCCCCAGAAGTCCCTTAGGTAAAGTGCATTAGGCCCCAGAAGTCCCTCCGGTAAAACCGTGCTTGTTCTCTCAAACACATCGTCAATATAAATTGAGTTGCAATGCAGAAGACAACAGTTGTGACGCTCTGCTCCAACCTACGTCTTCACTGTCAACTGCTTTGCCATGAGGAAGCAGATAAGATTTTAACACGGTACCTCGATCGTGTTCATTCGAACTTGACAGGGACACGAATAATTGCATTAATTATATAGTCATTCCTGCGAAAGCCGTTCCACAGTGCAATAATAATGGGGACTTTATTCACAATGTTATGTTTTATAAAATACTATAGGCAAAAATTAATTAAACTGAAATATCCAAGACGATTCATAGGGTATCACATTTAGAAGGCTGCATCGTTCAGTTGCATAAAAACCACTGTACTGGAAGTGAAGAAGCTTTATTTTCAACACACTTCTTGGAACACGCATGATGCAATATGACTTCTGGAGCACGATGAGTATGAACAATCAAGAAATGATACATACACTTCACCTACAATCGGTATATTAGCCTATTGTATCTTAACATATCACGCTCTGCTGGTGTGAAAAATTCGTCGCATCCGATGTATCCGATCGCAACAAAGTATGCGATGAGTGCAGGGAGCCGAGGTATTTGTCGCGTCACGTGTTGTGCTCTCGTCCTGGACACGTTCAGAACACGCGCTTCTAATGCTAGGAAAAAGGAAGAGATCCAGTGTCTGTTGTACGATGTTTAACTGATAGGGACTAATTGTAATAAATCCAGGGCTTGAAGGTAGAAAAACATCTTTAAATATCTTAATATAATTATATTAAGATATTTAAAGCTGTTTTTTTTTATCTTCAAGCCCTAAATTTATTAAAGTGGAGTGGATTATGCCATTAAATTAATGGGGATGAAACCAAAATAATAAAAATTTGATAGAGCACCAAAAATATTTTTGTTTCGAAATTCATAATCAGGGAAGTAAGATATGTAGGCGCCGCCACGAGTGTCGCGGCGCGACGGTCTCGCTAAGCTGTTCGTTAAGTTATGTCGCTTGACAGCGTCGTGCGCTTTGTAGCTGAAACATAATACGGGCATTGCATCTATAAGCGTTGTTACGGCAGCTGTTGGTGTTTGTAGTTTGTTAACTTATTCTGTTTATTTATCTCTCTTAATAGTGTAAGGATCTGTCGCATCCTTCAGTAGTTCTAGCATAACATTCATGGAGTCCAGGATATCAACTGTTCTCGTGTAAGATTGAAGTTCGTAGGACCGCTGAAATAAATCCATGACTAACTTATAAATTTATTGAAAGTAAAAGTTTATCACTGAAACGTGATGAACTTTTACTTTTCCGTTAAGTGTAAAACACAATTTTAAACATTTCCGTTAAGTTTGAAACATTTTTGGCAATCGAATAGCATGATCATATTTTCGTGACATAAAATTATTTAACTTAATCATTATTCAATTTAATAATAATTATTTATAAAATGTTAAATTTCTTTCATTCAATTATACTCCAAGACTCTGTACGCAATTCAATGCAATCTAATTCCCTGCTTTGTGAACAGACTTGAAGCTGAGTTGTGGAAATGAATGAAAAATGAAATGAATCTGCAATGAAATTTATCTGCATTACTAAGTTTAGAAGCCTGTTTATTAATCGCAAAGTTTATTAAATGACTACTGCTTTGTCTTGTTCTTATTTACTATTTCTCAGTTCAGTATTTTAACTTTCAGTTGTGGTAAAATAATTTCGATAAATCAGAAAGCAACCCAGACGGTGTGAAGAATATCGATAAAATAATCAAAAGTAAAACAAAGAGAGAATTGTAACTTTACATTAAAATATGGCGATTTACCTTCCGTTGTCGTATTTGCATTACCTTTAGTTTTTCGGTTGGCATTTGAACCTGTACTGCTTGAAGCTGCTAGCAAAATAATTTTTATGCTTATGTTTTACTCATATTATGAATGTGTTTATTTTCAACCTGCTCTATTACTTTATTCTACTGTTAATTAAAATGAACCAACATTGTGTGGTGTTTATTACCAGAAGAGTGCGCTCGCCACAAATTCATCGCAGCAACCGGCTGGAGAAAGCTGGCTCGCCGTGACTGCCTTAACATGAGATTATCTTGTTGCAAAGTGGACGATTAGAGAAGAACCAGGCACTACTGAACGTCAGAAAATTTTGTATTGAAAGTTGAAGCGTTTTTGATATGATGACGCGACTTCAAAGTTATTAATTGCACAAAAAAATTGTTTTACCCCGTATCTTACGGGCCTTGCAATAATAGAGTCCAGCAGCTATCACACTCAATCGTCAGTTATGGATAGATCGGGTTCAAAAGGCCGGATCCCTTGTGAAATCAAGTCACGAAAAATATAAGAATCGGCATTAGGCCATGGGCCTATTTCTTCAGTGCCGACACTTCTATTATATTCTATTCTGAGAATATAGGAGCTAAAGCTAGCATGTTGATCCAGCGTCGCTCAGGAGGACTGTGTATGGTGGTATATAGGATACACACAGTGGCTCGATAATAGATGGAATATGATGGTATCCACGATACCAAGCTCGTACGGTGCCGAACGGATGCTTCCAAACACAAAGTTTCCCAAACACAAACTTTTTAGAACTCACGCAGACAAACTTTAAAAAAAAAACACGCAGACAAAGAACTAGAATTTGCTGCATTCCAGTTTGAGATAAAAAGCTGAAGTATTGGTCCACCCAAATAGTTAAAGGAACGTGAAGGGTTGCAGCCACGGCAGCAAGATGACATCCATCACGCTGTTGAATTGCGATGGTGGGTACGGAACTTGCTGCCGCCATCCCTCAAGTTGGGCCTTCATGTGTTGCACCACGGCCATGTATCTGCCCACCACACACTATCTTCAATAATTTAGACACCGTTTTAACATTATTAAAATGTAACATGTTTATAGGAGCATCGAGGCACTTCATATGCACTAGGCCAACAAAATTAGTGGCAACAATGTTGCTGTTACGCACTTCAGGAATTAACGTTCTTACAATCGGATCGCGAAAATGTGCGAACAAGATTAAATTAAATCAATTTTTTGAACGCAACATCTGCAGATATTGCGTACTTGTAAAATTCTAATTACTTAAAATTCAAGCATTTGACTCAATGTACGTTTATAAATAAATGAAAAGGCTCATCCAGTGGATTAGCTAAAAGTATGGTCATATGCTAATAGGTCGCACAAGTATGGCAAGTGCTCCGAGTATGAACGCCTTCAAGAACAGACTGGACGAAGCTATGCAGGAGCATATGTTCAGTCTTAAAATACCATGAGGCATTTCAGCTATTGTCATGTTCAGTGAGCAAATTACGGACCAGGCAATAAGTCCAGCAGCTATCTCAATCAATCGTCAGTTATGGAAAGATCGGGTTCCAAAGGCCGGATCCCTTGTGAATCAAGTCACGAAAAGTTCAAGAATCGGCAACAGGCCATGGGCCTATTTCTTCAGTGCCGACACTTCTATTCTATTCTAAGTAGTTACGTACTCTCCGGACGTGTTGGCAATGTTTCATTATATGTTATCAAGATGGTAGGTAATCAAGGTTGTAGGTACTCTAACAAGGTGGTAGGTACTCTCGGCAGTGGATTTGCAAGAAGTATGCTCATAGGTCGCACAAGTATGGCAAGTAGTTACGTACTCTCGGGACGTGTTGGCAATTGGTCTGTCCTCGTTGGCTAGTAGTTACGTACTCTCGGGACGTGTTGGCAATTGGTCTGTCCTCGTCGGCTAGTAGTTACGTACTCTCGGGACGTGTTGGCAATGGGTCTGTCCTCGTAAGCGTCGCGGCGGAGATCAAACAGGATCGGATGCTGCGAGATGTCGGCGCTGTGAGAGGCGCCGCGCCAGGTGCAGCACGCCGTCGTCTCGCCCCAGCCACACTGATAGCTGCCGGCGCTGCTGTACACCGGCCTACGCAGGTGTAGCTTGTACACGTGCTCGCCTGGACACGTGTACGTCATTACTTGCGACGTACACGTGCTCGCCTGGACACGTGTACGTCATTACTTGCGACGTACACGTGCTCGCCTGGACACGTGTACGTCATTACTTGCGACGTACACGTGCTCGCCTGGACACGTGTACGTCATTACTTGCGACGTACACGTGCTCGCCTGGACACGTGTACGTCATTACTTGCGACGTACACGTGCTCGCCTGGACACGTGTACGTCATTACTTGCGACGTACACGTGCTCGCCTGGACACGTGTACGTCATTACTTGCGACGTACACGTGCTCGCCTGGACACGTGTACGTCATTACTTGCGACGTACACGTGCTCGCCTGGACACGTGTACGTCATTACTTGCGACGTACACGTGCTCGCCTGGACACGTGTACGTCATTACTTGCGACGTACACGTGCTCGCCTGGACACGTGTACGTCATTACTTGCGACGTACACGTGCTCGCCTGGACACGTGTACGTCATTACTTGCGACGTACACGTGCTCGCCTGGACACGTGTACGTCATTACTTGCGACGTACANATTAGGAACTGCTTGAAAGTAACGAGCTTCTGGTCCGTTAGCTTAATGCTTGTCAGTTGTGATGAGGCTGTAGCGATGAAGCGAACTACAGGCCAGCGGGATGAGAAGTCAATAAACCGACGTCGTATGCAAATTGAAGTAAACTTCCCAAGATATTAAAGGGGCCTATCTTATTGGAAAGCTAGGATTAACATGTTTGGTCTAACTGGCTGATAAATAACCAGAGTCGGGACTATTTTTTAGCATAACCTATTATACTGCTTTAATGGACGACTTTGGACCTCCTTATACGAGCTTTGGAATTAATTTTCAACACCTTAGCCAAAAATATCAGTAACTTTATCAAAGGGACGAGCCACAAGAGTTTTCATTAATCATGTAACCGCAGTGCACGAAATCAAGTACAATATGTGTTGAATATTCTGAATAACATCTGAAGACCTGTGTTGAATCTGATGGTGCAGTATCAACGTCGCAACTACCATACGCTTAAATATTTCAACTATCAAAGTTAGTTATGGGGGATGGATGCAACGGAGAAAAATAACATCTGAACTATCGTAATTAGTAATGGGGAAGAGATGCAGCGGAGAAAATTAACATCTGAACTATCGTAATTAGTAATGGGGAAGAGATGCAGCGGAGAAAATTAACATCTAAACTATCGTAATTAGTAATGTGGAAGGAATACTGCTGAGAAAAATAACATCTGAAGACCTGTGTTGTATCTGATGGCGTCGACGAACATGCCGGAGTGGTGCAGCAGCAGCCGCCCCCTCGTGGGGTCCTCCGTAGCGCCGCCTGCGCCAGTCAGCAGGGAGCTCAGGCTTAGCCCGTCCAGCGGCTGGCCAGTCATGCACGCGCATTTTTAATTGAATTCATTGTAAAATTTTTAATTGATTTCATTGTAAAAATGTGCCGTATACAAACTGATATATTAGCGGACTTTTAATTGAATTCATTTAAAAAATGTACCGTGTACAAACTGATATATTAGCGGATTTTTAATTGAATGCATTTAAAAAATGTACCGTATACAAACTTAATTAATTCAATTAACTTAATTGAATTCATTGTAAAAATGTACCGTATACAAACTGATATATTAGCGGACTTTTAATTGAATACATTTTAAAATGTATATATTTATTTTCATTGATATTACCAAAATCGATACGACGAAGTAAATAAAAATAAGAGTACCTAGCGATGTGAGAGGGTAAAGAACGATTAAACGCTAAAAATAGTGTTTATGAAAGCAGCTTGTTTCATTTTGGTTTGGTTTGCTTCAGTTTTCATTTAGTTTAAGTAATGATCCGAGGCATCTGGCATGGATGAATATGATCTGGCATCATGGATAATGATCTGGCATGGATGAACAGGAACATCTGGCATGGATGAACAGGAACATCTGGCATGGATGAACAGGAACATCTGGCATGGATGAACAGGAACATCAGGCATGGATGAACAGGAACATCTGGCATGGATGAACAGGAACATCTAGCATGGATGAACAGCAACATCTGGCATGGATGAACAGGAACATCTGGCATGGATGAACAGGAACATCGGGCATGGATGAACAGGAACATCTGGCATGGATGAACAGGAACATCGGGCATCCCACTAATTCTATCACTCAATTAAACTGATGAATCGACAGATTAATTGGATGCATGCCACGTGTTATTATATACGATAACTGCCTTAGATAACATAATATCCCATGAAATGACTGGGATCGCACCTGTGCTGCATCGGGCAGCAGTTCACGCACGCTTGGCAAGCCCGAGAGCTCAAGCAGCGTAGGCAGAACATCCAGTAAGGATGTAGGAGATGACAACTTGGAACCATCACGTACCACCCCGGGGTACCTCAACACACCGGGTACTCTGATCCCGCCCTCCATTCCCCCTTGAAACTTCCCACCTGAACACAAAAAACTGGATGATTAATAAAATCACTTGACTGCTTAAATCGCAAGTTTATCAAAAATTTAAAAGCAAAGAAAATAGCCAGAAAATTCATCATTTCTTAAAAAGGAAAACGTTTCGGAGACCAGCTCCATCATCAGTTCAAAACCTAAAACACAGGTACAGGTTGTTTGTACCTGTGTTTTAGGTTTTGAACTGATGACGGAGCTGGTCTCCGAAACGTTTTCCTTTTTAAGAAATGATGAATTTTCTGGCTATTTTCTTTGCTTTTAAATTTTTGATAAACTGGATGATAACTTAGCGTTATTTCCGTAGACCTGGGCCATACTTTCAAAACTCGCTAAGTGAACGTAAGTACTTACGCTCTATTTTCTTGTCTATGATTGGTGGATTTTGCTTGAAAGGCCGTTAATGATTGGCTGGCGAACTTACGATTTCTTAACTTTTTTGAAAGTATAGGCCCTGTTCTGTCTAAGCGTAAATAGTTTCTACCTTTGTAACCGCAAATTTTAAACCATAACATATAAGGTTTTCGGCAGTGAAAACGTTCAAAGGCCGCCAAAAAATGGACGGAACCCAGGGATATTTATAAAAATATATATGCAATATCGTGAATTAACTACATCTACTCAAAAATAAGTTGAAGTCATTACCTACAGCCACTTTTACTATATTTAAGCAAAACATCAAAGCTGTATTAAGTGCATGCAGTCGCACACTGGACATAACAATGAACTACCTCCGTCTCCCAGAAGATTACTAAAACAATATTACACATCAATTGTTTCCTTAAGCGGTGACCAGATGAAATCAATACAATGCTTAATGTTTGTATATTATACTGAAAATATTGTAAACATTTGCATTACGGAAAGTATACAAAGAACACAATAGTGGAATTAGAGAGGAAATTCTGACCTTTAAAGAGTCCGTTATAACCACCCGTCCGCTGGCCATCAGCCCCGAGCGCCTCCAAGTGGCCGCCGTGGTCTGACGTGAAGTAGACGATGGTGTTGTTATACAGAGCCATGTCATCCAGTGCCGCGAGCAGCAGACCTACGCCTTCATCCAGCTCCTCGACGGCGTCACCATACCTGACACCGAGACACTCAATTCGCACCGCCTGCGAAGATTGTGCAACAAGCCCAACGTGGCTTACTGAAGTCATACTTACTTTACGAGGCTTACAGAAGTCGTCGTGGCTTGCAGAAGTCATCGTGGCTTGCAGAAGTCGTCGTGGCTTGCAGAAGTCATCGTGGCTTGCAGAAGTCGTCGTGGCTTGCAGAAGTCATCGTGGCTTGCAAAAGTCATACTTACTCTACGTGGCTTACAGAAGTCATTCTTACTCATAGTTGGCTTACAGAAGTCATCGTGGCTTGCAGAAGTCATACTTACTCTACGTGGCTTACAGAAGTCATTCTTACTCATAGTTGGCTTACAGAAGTCGTCGTGGCTTGCAGAAGTCATACTTACTCATACGTGGCTTACAGAGGTCATCATGGCTCATGGCTTGCAGATGTCATACTTACTCATAATAATATAATAATAATAGCGGTTTCAGCGTTATTAGGCCGTAGGCCTGTCGCCGATTCTTAACTTCGCAGAACATTCACAGCATTTTGCGGTCTCGAACTCGCAACTCACTGCTACAATTCTGCTATGCTTAACCGCCCGGCCTCCTTGCCGATTCTGACCAGAAACTGGCGCACAGAGCTGGGATCGAACCCGCGCCTCTCTGCGCCAATCTTGGTACTCTGAACTGTAACCACTGGGCCACCCTGCCCAACTCATACGACCATACGTGGCTTACAGAAGTCGTCGTGGCTTGCAGAAGTCAAATTGCTGCTACAAATATGCCGTATTTATCACAAGTTCTCATTTTTACACCCACGTTGCCTTTACAAATACGTGCACCGTTTCTACAACTATGCTACATTTTTACACTCGCATTGTTTTTACAAATGCGCCGTACTAGCAATCAGTCCTCATTTTACACCAGCATTTCTGACGCGAATACACCACCTCAGTTATTTTTACGGCGTTCCCAATGCAATTTTTAGTTTTTCTAGACATATTACTGAGCCAAATACGTCGTGCCTGCCTACCTGAATTACTTATTTTTCTCTAAAAAATAAAAACAAATTTGGGTATATCAAATATGAATTTCAGGAAGTCAAATTTACTGAGCATGTTAAAATCGTAATACACAGGCCCACATCAGAAAAAGTATCCAGCAACCAAAAGTTAAACGTTTACACACATAAAAATTATAGTAAACTAGATTTGCTAAGTAACAAGAGAAGACATCACCGCATTGAACCGAGCGGGTACTATACAAAAATACCCTTATCGTTATCGCAAGAATGGAGATCACGATGGGGCGCACATCAGAATACAGTTTCCCGGTAGACATATGGATTAGGCCGGATATAGGGCGTATGGTCGTGCCTTGGTGTCATCCAATACGCCAACCAGACTGCCAGCATCAGGGTAAGCAGCAGTAACAGGTTCAACAGCAATAAAGCAACGGCGTTTTTCTTGTCGAGAAGAGGCTTTAGAGTCCTGTAGCTGCTTCTTGCGGCCGCCATCTCATACAAAAGTTGAACAAAGCTCATCTTGTGGACTCTAAGATGGTCTCTTTCTTCTGCGTAAACATCAGTGTGAAGATAATAAAGATAATCAGAGACGTTATTAAATTTGTGCTTTAGCAGGTTAATTATCTAGTGCGTGTAGTTCACATCTGGGTTGAAGAATCCTGCTCGACTCTAGTTAACTAGAGGGAAAAGGCTGTTGAAAACTTGCCCCTGCATGCTTATCAATGCGTTGCTCAAAAACTACTTGTCGTCTTCCATCGGTAACTAGGATTACAGAGACTCGTAGAGCTTTTTTGAGCTTTGTCTCGCAAGGGAAAAGGAGCTGCTTTGCAGATAATCGGATGGAAGACGGAAATATCGACGGATGATGGTTTGTCTCTCTACGTTATACTTGTCCACTTGAGCTTTGTAAATATGCACTCCGAAATCATTCTTTATCGTATCGAGTTCTTCTGGTTGGAAATTTTCTTATAAAAAGTTGAAAATTTCAATGAGCGTATTCACTTCACGAGTCGCTTGCTTCACCTGATCATCCGTGACCAGCTAGGAATCACTTTTGAAGGCCTCGATTTGCTACGAAAGCGCCCTTTTCACATCATTCAAAATAGCTCGAGTAATATTGATGCGATTTTAGATAGCAGCATTCATCTTATCGAAAAAATTTCGAGCAGTTTTTTAACCATTTTATCGCAAGACTCCTACCCCAGTTTCCGCACTCTGAAGATAATCCGAAGAATTGCTTTCCAATTGCTAACGAAGTTGTGCAATTTCCTCCTTGAATTTACTTGATACTTCCTCATAGACGCCGTCATTCAGTACCGTACTATTCCACTTGGCAGGCAAGTTTTGGGCCATCAGTTGAAGTTAAGTGTTGCTGGTCTGAAGAGAACTCGCGCGACCCAAGATGCGGTCAGCAGCAGCCTCGAGAGGTACATAGTCGCCTTCTACTAGCGCCGTTAACGAGACAAGTGCAACCAAACAAGCTTGTAATGGTCTCATTTTCATCCCATAGAATTTAGGTCCTGCTATGAAACTCCACGATTGTTCTTGAGATTAACTGCAGATGATATCGAATTGGGTTGAATTTATCTCAGAAATACCGAGCCCCACAGCTTACCAAACTTAGAACGGTATCAAAGTTACGGGCGCCTGAGAAATGTCGGTCGCTGCGTGCCATTTAATTCGGCGTGCATTAAGATTCGTCAAACTGTTACATTATTGACATCAATACGACACGAACATGGCTCGTGCGAACGCGTTAGAATTTAGATCAACAATACAAGATCTTTAATATTTGCCTCACATCATAAGCGTTGATATTGTAACTTTATACAGAACCGGGCCATTTTGTTACTACATTCAAAGAAAAAAAACTTATCGGGTCTACCTAGTGATTGCCTCGAAGAACTATAGTTTCATTAGTATTTTTGATTCACTTTCGTTGTATTACCATTACCAGAAATTCTCCATGAAGATCAGATATGGCGCGTGACTTTTTACACGATCACTATCCTCAAGAGACGGGCTCCTGAGATAACCAAATGGATTGGTCAAATCTCGACTTATTCTAAATTGAATGCAATAATTTCGCTTTCCTCGTTCGATTTTCAAGAACACATATATATACTAAGTCCAGCAGCTCTCTCAATCAATCGTCAGTTATTGAAAGATCGGGTTCCAAAGGCCGGATCCCTTGTGAATCAAGTCACGAAAAGTTCAAGAATCGGCAACAGGCCATGGGCCTATTTCTTCTGTGCCGACACTTCTATTCTATTCTATTCAGAGTAAGCGCTTACCTGCCATGTCGACTCCGGCCTCGGTTGTGAGGCGCGCATACGAGAGGCGTGTGAGGGTGCGAGAACGCGTGTACCGCCAAGAAGCTGCGACCAGACGCTGCCTCGGCGCTGTGCCAATGATGAATGGTTAAGCCATGAGCGCCACGTGATGAATATGATGGAACGTTGAATATAATGGAAAAGCCTAGAAGGCCGTTTAGCTAGATAAAGAAAAGGCCATAAGCGCCACGTGATGAATATAATGGAACGTGGAGAAGCCTCGAAGGCCGTTTAGCGAGATAAGGAAAAGATGAATCCCGTAAGACCAGTATATATATAATATTGGATAATACAATATGGCCTCAGAAACATCAAAGTTCATTAGTCAAGTACAAGAAGGCAATATGACATTTTAATTACATTATGTATTGGCCGAAAGCCATTAGATATTCGGTAGATGGCACAAGATCAAGCTATCCTCTTCATGCCGACGAAATCTTGATATTTAAAGAGCACAAACAAATTTAGGCATGTAGTCATATTAGTAATTCAAATCGGCCCGACTAATGTGACGATCCGTTTGACAGAAATTAAAACACCATAATTCGGCATTGTTCATCTTCTCCGCTCCGTACTTCTGATAAATTTTCTATGATGACAGGGACATTTCTATTCACATTGAGGATGTGAAAATGCGACAGATTCGTTTTAGCTGAATTGAAGAAATTATTTGGACGTCTCAGTGTTCCCGTTGGATACGAACTTTGATTGTCATACAAGTATTATTCAGAGCTACCACGAGATCCTTTAGGGGTAATATCTTCCGTATGAAGTAGCAATGGGGACCTATAGCTGCCTGCACCAACCGTCGCGGCAACATTGATGTCTACCTGCCCCACGCAACACACCCTCCGATTAACCCTCTACCGCCTGACTTGAGTAACCGGGGCCCATACTTTCAAAAAAAGTTAAGAGATCGTAAGTACATCAGCCAATCATTGACGGCCTTTCAAGCAAAATCCATCAATCATAGACAAGAGAATAGAGCGTAAGTACTTACGTTCACTTAGCAAATTTTGAAAGTATGGCCCCAGAGCAATATTGTCACAAGTCTACTTCCCAGAAGGGATACGTTCTAGTGAGAGCAAAATAACTTGCACTGATGGTTGCGGCCACGTACGACAACTGTAAAATTCTCTGTTGCGTACAAACCTCGTCAGGTTGCTTGACTCAATAGTTTACGTATAATTTAAGTTGAAAGTTATGTTCCCTGAGAGTGATATACTGCGGTAGAGGGTTAAGGCTGGTCTTCTGTCAGTACACTGCGACAAGGCTCTGACGTCCTCCATCAATTGTAACCTGATTGATGATTGACTCTTTGTTGAACAAAGTCGACTGGACCAACAAGAACTTGAAAATTTCTCTAAATCTGACCTCGCATTCATAAATGAACCTGAGGGGAAAACCCCTCCACCCACCAGAAATTGTATATCCTGTGAAGGAAATACAATTATACACGGTATAATGATGATATAGCGAGGATATTCAGATACATTTACATTTATCATCGTACGTATACATAGATGCAGAAAAAATTGCCATCTCACCGCATGAAATCGACAGTGGCTCGCACCATATCCATGCTAAGCGACTCCAGTGGCGCTCTCTGATGCAGCACTGACGTCTGCCTCATAACCACGAAGTTTAAGTTGAAGTCCATCCATTCCGAGACCTGATGGCAAAATCTAGAATTTGGGTACGTTCCAATACTAAAAGTTTGGAGATTGAGAGTTGAACACACATGATATTTAACATGAATTCTCACAAAATGTCATCAACGCTACTTTGAAGACAATACAAAACCCAAGGTATATTTCAAGTAATTGGGAATTTGGAGTTACGTGATAAACCTACGCGAATCTGCTTCCGGAATATCCTAGTTACGTAGTCAGGAACAATTTGTGTCGCTGTAAAATTAAGTTCCCTCTACAAAAATGTTCGAAGTCAACTGCGTGAAACTCTCTTGACTTAATGAAGTTCCCTCTACAATAAGAACAAATTTTACTCTCTCGACTTAATGAAGTTCCCTCTACAATAAGAATAAATTTTCGAAGCCAACCGCGTGAAACTCTCTCGACTTAATGAAGTTCCCTCTACAAAAAGAACAAATTTTCGAAGCCAACTGCGTGAAACTCTCTTGACTTAATGAAGTTCCCTCTACAATAAGAACAAATTTCCCAAACCAACTGCGTGAAACTCTCTTGACTTGATGAAGTTCCCTCTACAATAAGAACAAATTTTCGAAGCCACTTGACTTAATGAAGTTCCCTCTACAATAAGAACAAATTTTCGAAGCCAACTTGACTTAATGAAGTTCCCTCTACAATAAGAACAAATTTTCGCAGCCACCTGCGTGAAACTCACTTGACTTAAAGAAGTTCCCTCTACAATAAGAAAAAATTTTCGAAGCCACTCACCTGATACCAGCGCGGTGTGTGGAATCTGTAGTGCGTGAGCAGGAACCAGGCGGCCGGCGCAGCGACCAGCAGCGACGTCACCACGACAGCGGCAGCGACGTTGAATTTAAGGCGCTTCAGCAACACCGCCACTGCGAGCACGGCTGCGCTCGTGCCTACCAAGGCCTGCGTAGAGGAATAGGTCATAATTATTAGAGGGTAACATGCAAGCGAGTGCGTACCTTAGGTTATTCCGGCTGCGACCGAAGCAAAAACATAGCTGACTGCCGCAGTTACATGGTTTCATCGTACGTTTCGATTCAGAAACATGTTTCGGCCCCGTTTTTCTAGTGCAGCATTGGTCAAAATACCCGGAAGGCCTTACTGAAAACATCATTCTTACTGACTCCATTAGAGTAAGATATAAGGATCGTCACACCTCGAACCCCTTTAGCGTCGAAAATAGAGACAGCTTTGCCATGACAAACTATAATAAAAGTAATAGTGCTGATCAAGGCCATTAGACCCGTCGCTGATTCCGAATATCCGAATATTTGACAAAGCTCACAGCTTATTGCGGGTCTCGAACATGCAACTCACTGCTCAAATTTGCTGTGCCGCATGGTCACCTGGACGATTTTGACCGGAATTGTTGCAGGTAGCAAGGGTGGAACCCACAACTCACTGCTCCAATCATGCATGGTACCCTGAACTGTAACCACTGGGCCACCCTGCCCCATATTAGCAATAACGAGATAAGTTATAGGAATAAGTTAGGTCTAAGGGACTATCGGAATGGTATAGTTCAGTGAGGGTATAGAGATAACGCCTCCCGGTGAGAGCATCGGGGTAATGTCACTTTCTGTCAGGGTGTAATGAGCGATCCCTAAAGGAGCTTCCACGCAGAATGTCGGTAAAAGATCACGGGAATGAGTAGGCTGGCATCTCTTAGTGAGTAAAAGCAGAATGCAAGCTATAGATCTGAGTATAACACGAGCCAATACCAATCGATACCAATAATGTATCAGGAAGGCCAAAATAACCAGTAAAACACCCTGCCACCCTGCCACCCACAGAGCAGGCCGCTACCCAGAGGTCTTGGCCGTCAGCCAAAGCACAGGTCACGAATCAGAAGGAAGAACAGTGGCCACAGGACATGTCGCCACATAAAGTACATGTTCAGGTCAGTATTTGGTCATGCCTGCTAGTGACCAATTACATGTACTCAACGTTGCACCGAAGACCTTGATGCGGCAATGATCATAGACATTACAAATCGCGCTCTCATAAATCAGATTTGTGTGAAGTCCGTCCTGCCAGCCGCAGTGACAAGCACATGTCATATAGATGCAACTCACGTGATAATGGAAATCTTCTTCCGGCCAGACCCAAAATGAGCCCTCTACGTTGGCGCGCTCGAAGAGGGTGTTGGGGAGGTAGAAGGTGGAATTGAAGCCGTGCGCCAGCGGGCCTTGACAGGAGCGGCCAAGAAACCCGCATCCACTGCCCAAGTGCCATTTGCCTGATCCACACCAATGCATTAATAGTGGCCATTAGGCTCAATAGTTGAATATTAGAGTGCATTAGATATCAATCGGACAATTATGCTTCAAATTACACGGGTGATAATAGTTTGGTAGACACGCAAAACGTTACGTCCAGTCCATATCACCGTACAGCTGAGACCCACCCGTGAAGTGAGTTCTGTAGCCGGCCGCTGCAAACGCCTTTCCGATTGTTGGTTCTGAAGAGGGCAATCCAGCTCTGCTAGCTACGTGCACGAGGACAGGTGGGCCGCCTGAGGCTGCACCTACCATTCCTGTAAATAAGTACGAAATATATCGTAAATTGTAACAAAAATACGCAGAATATTTGTAGCTATAAGTATTTTTTACTTAAAACGCAAAGAATGTCAACCTAAAAATTTTTTTATACCATAAAATATCTGTGATCAGCCTAGAAAAAGTGTTTCGTCAGGAAATAATTGCTCGAGAGAGAGAACAGAAACAGCGAGTTGGACTGCATAAAAGGAATATTGAAGTGATGTTAGACTAAGGTGCACGATAATGTGGTGGGGAGTCTGCGTGTCGGTTGTGGAGTCTGCGTGTCGGTTTTGGACTCTGCGTGTCGGTTGTGGAGTCTGCGTGTCGGCTGTGGAGTCTGCGTGTCGGCTGTGGAGTCTGCGTGTCGGTTGTGGAGTCTGCGTGTCGGTTGCCCTCCCTGAGACCCTGCGCCCTGATTTCGTTCTTGTTTATTAGCACCACGCAGAGAGGTATTCATTTTTATGGTGGGTCACTAGTTTCAGATGAAGAAGTTGAGTTTCTCCATGTGCGGAGTATCGTGCATATGAAAGCGCTGTAAGCCACGAAACTCCGATCTCCCAGCAGAGTTGGTAGACAGTTGACCCGATTGCGGTAAAGTAGTGCAAAGTAACTACGTATGTCGGAGATACTGCTGAAGGAATAATCAATGTAAGCATTCTTTTAAAGCGTACATTGAACAGTGGTAACTCGGAAGTCGGTCAAAGGCAATGCGTTGCAGAAAGAGGATCAACTCTTGAAAAAGTAGAGTTCAGAATCTAATAGCTGCCGAGGCACAAAATGTCGTAATTAAAAAAAATATATATATATATTACGTAACTTATAAAATAGCATAAAAGTCCGCAAACTCTATTATATAGACTGAATAATACAGGAAACGACGCGAAATAGAGATGAATAAGGGACACGCAACGATCTGAGAGAAGAGAAACTTTTCCATTCACGTGCCTCCACTTCTTGTGCTTGGTGGCCACAATTGTCATCTATAAATTCTAAACCGGTCGTAAGCTGTATCGTTTAACTAATATGAAGGTTGCGCACAATCATTTCTCGACCCCTGGGCCCATACTTTCAAAAAAAGTTAAGAGATGTAAGTTCATCCGCCAATCATTGACGGCCTTTCAAGCAAAATCCACCAATCATAGACAAGAAAATAGTGCGTAAGTACTTACGTTCACTTAGCCAGTTTTTAAAGTATAGGCCCTGGAAGTGAAATCCTGAGCACTGTGGTATGATCCGTGGCACTGTGGTGCAATTCAGGTTCCTGATTACAGATTTTTTGGCATTGTGTTGGAGGCAAGCGGCTAAGTGGGTTCGTGAGCTGACTAATGATGCCGTCTTTGCCTTGACTTTGCTCTTCTCTCAGGTATTTAAGAGGCACATAACTCCAGCAACATATATTATTGTTCAAGTTAACTACACATAATACTCGCCTTCTCACTTCACATACTTGTATGAGATGCATAACTCCAGCAACATATACTTTTGCGTAACATGGCTACAAAAATTACCAGTAGTAATCACCGTGTATCATTGAGGAATTTTGATCACACGTACCACACACAATTACACTCCATCCCTTAAAGATTTATGGATCATTGCATATGTACACGTGAGAATTGCTGCAACTCACCATATCGCTGCGGGTATCGCGCTGTCATGAGAGCGGCGCGGCTGGGGGTGCAGAGAGCGGCGGCCGCCAAGTGGTGCGTGAGCGCCACGCCTTCCCTACACAACCTGTCGTGCCAACATCATCGTGGTCAACTCATGCACATGTTTGCAATAGTAAAGTAATATCAGTAATGCAATATCAGTAATGACTCGAGGAATATCAGCAATGACTCAATGGTTGGTAGATTCGTTCATATATTGATGAATCAATTAACATAATTAAATGTAATCTCTTAATTATGTTCAATCATCATTTAATCATTTATGTTCATCATTTAAACGTGCGACAACGACGAGAGGGACCTTCTGATGGTCGTGTTTTCCTAGCCGCACGCCCGGTTTCTCCATAACAAAAGAACAAGACGCCTACTCCGAATACACTGTCGTTAATGAAGTGCAACATGGCAACCCATAATCCTAGTTCAAATTTTTTTTAGAAAAACGTCCCTGAGAGTGCCATTCGAGTTGCGCGGGAACAACGGGACTGCAATAGATTTCTGAAACCAAACACTCATTGATGATCAAACCATTTAACAACACAAAGACTAAATCCCTACTTGTTGGACAGTAGTATTAACATCGCTCATCATAAGGGCACAGCAGTGGGACGTAATAATATGAAATGATGCTTATGCGTCACTGGCGAAATGATAGTGGCGACCAAAGAACGGCGACCTCGAAGTGGTAGTTGGTTAACATCTGTAACTTGGCTACGGCGCACCCACCTGTCAATTGCAGGCGTCCTGATGGTAGTGTTGCCGAAGCAGCCAACATCACCGATGCCGAGATCATCAGCAATGAGGATGAGAACATTTGGTGATGATAGGCTTGGCTGACCAGAGGTAACGTCTGGGGACGCTACCCACACAAATAACACTAGATAACAAGTTAGCCGACCAGCATTGAACGCGTTCGCGCAACGTGAAGCATGTGAAGGAAGCGCGCATGTTATTAGACTGTGCATTTTGTTGCTGGGCAGGTGAAATATTCTCAAAACGTACCAGCCTTTTCGAGAAAAATCTAGAACAAGCCATTACGAACAGTAAAAATATTATCGTTAGCGGATGAGAGTAAAGATTTCGTTATTTATTGTGGGGATCTAAATTTATTCTTCAGTCACATCAATGCCTTCATACAAACGTATAGGAAGCTTTGACACCCTGCAAGAAATCAATATCTGAATGTTTAGAAGTTGTGGTTGGAGATGCAGAAAGACCGTTTCTCTGGAATATTGTTACTCTTTATTTAGTAGTTATCAGGAATATATTTTATAACAAAACTCCGGGCTGTGAAAAGAAGTCTTGTGGAGGCAAGAAGATTGAATTGAGCGTTTAAAATATGTTATATTGTCAATTAACTTAAAATTAGGATATCATCAGGGTAAATTCCAATGCACAAAAAGCATCTTGCTCACACGTTTAGTGGCAACTGAAATAGAATTTCATAGATGGAACACGTAAATAAGGTTCAGTTTAATCGCAATCTAGGGTATTCCAAAACAACACTATAAAATGACACTATAATCCTTTTTGCGTGCTACACGAGATCGGAAATATTATTATAGTTATATCAAATGTCATCAGATGTTAGAAAAAAAGGTGATCCTACCGATACCTCGCCAATAGTATCTGTGTTCGTAAATATTAATTGTGAAACTATGATAGCGAACCATACAAATGATAACGATATTGTATTCGTCTGATATTTAACACAATGAACCGAAATGTTACCTGTATACTGCATTGAACTATAAATAGGAGGGTATTTGGTCTGAGAAATTCATCTTGCGGCATCCCGTAATAGGCTATAGATGTAAGAAACTGAAGGGAAAAAGAAATTGTGTTTTGAAAGCCCAAAGTATCTCAAGGAACACTTTATCCCGAATAAAAACTTAGTGTCAAGTGCAACTTGGAAATGAACCCAGTAAGACCAACACGATTAAGAGCTTCAAAGCAATGTATTTTGTCGCCAAAAATGATCTTAACCGCCATCAAGTGCTGCTGCTCTCGGTATGACAGCGAGACGTACACATGAGCGACTTGCTGGCGAGAGTACTAAAGAACGCGAAGAAGCGAACGGGAAGAGAAACGAAGACGTTTGTGCAAAAGCTTGCTCGAACGACGTTACACAAACGGAGAAAGAGCGAGAGTAATTGAAAACAGGCCTACCGTAGCCTTCTTAATCCACATTACAGAAAGGTAAGGCTTTGAGTTCTATGGTTTGTCGATAAGAAACAGGACACATTCATTGGCCCTTTGTAGCGACCATGTATTTACGTTACCTCGAGTTACTTCCACAAATTATTTTTTATGAACGATGCCAGCCTATCATAATTTAGCGCAGTTACCCGTCAACTCAAACTCCCTACTTATGTCCAAAAAAATTCATTCGTTGTCATTAATAAATACCATCCGCGGTCCAATTACTGTTAAATATAAGTTAGCAGCGTAGAGTATATGTACATTAGCACGGACCTTGTCCGACATACAGGGTTATTCTAAATGATGGACCCAATTTGATAAATTCGTCTTTTAGTTTAAATTCAAAACAACTAATTTATATAGCACTGTAAGGAGAAAGATTCAAAGACTTTTTTAACATATTTCAATTTAACATATTTCATACATTAACATAGATGTTCAATATGTCCCCCTTATGCTGCACGGAAACATCTAAACGGTAACCTAACTCGTCCCACACACGAGAAAGCACATCGTCTGTTACCGAGTGCACCGTAGCTGTGATAGCGTCGCCAGTGGCACGCCACTCGAGCATCGTAAGGCGAGAAGCATAGCACTAATATTATAAGCAAAAACGTCACATGTCGTTACAAAGCGAGCTGCCGGTAACGAAGCTCGAGAATGGGAACTGGTATCAGGGCTCCCAGGGTTCACAAATCCCTTAGATGTTGACAGCGCAACATCTCCCTGGGGAAGTCTCGTCGGCCATTTGCAGAAGACCCTGATTCATTTTCTGGGAATTTATCAATTTGCTGGGACATCCACTACACATTCTTCCTCCATTCATGACGTGAAGGATTTAATGAATACATTGGAGTAGTTTCCATATCAATAGACGTCGCTACAAAGGACTACAACAAATGTCAGGGCTGCTAAGTCGTTCCTTCATTAGAGACGTAGAAGCAGTCTTACCCAGGGATTAAGCGAGGTAAATGATAAGTTCAGAAGGTATAATTGTCTATTCAAATCTATGTACAAAAAGCAGCATTGCAGTGTATTATCTGTACACATGCAAGCGTCCAATAAGGGTAATTTTAAATTTCAACGCAACCGATGTACATGCGTCCTGTAAAAACCAAGTTTTAGGTGCCAGCCAAGCAGTCTTCACATGAGAGTTCAAACTCATAGCTGAAGTGAAGGTTAGGAAGACAGCATTACTCACTCCTCACTTTTTATATACAGCGCCATGTAAATCATTTCCTCGTTCTTATATAAGCGGACCCTATACACGATACATCAACCATATTTTAACAATAAATAATAATGTTGAACATTACAATAAAACTTCATTAGAGGTTCAAGTGCATAAATCCGTGCCCAGCCTCCTTAGGGAGCCTACCCAGTTGAGCGTTGAGCCTACCACGCAAGGATGTTCGAAACATTTCCTGTTTTGCGTCCATAGCGATAATTTACCTCGACACTTATGTGCATTGACTTGTACTTTACACTGTCTCGTAATAATCAGGTATTTACTAAAAACAACCGAAACTAAGATAATAAATTATTAAAATTTCAAACTCAAGCACAGCCATTCACCATGTCAAAACTCCCATGCCATTCACAATGTCAAATGAACAATTTAATGACGTTTATGGTTCCACATTAAGCCGTAACATTCACGAAAAAAAAACACATATTATCCCGAAAACTCTGTTACTGATTAACCAATAAGTATAAGTACATAGATGTACTAATAGTCAACACCAAAATGCTTTAAATCAAAGCCCAGAAGAGTACATCAGCTGAGTATCGCGAGGAGAATGGGAGATTTGGTATCCATAATTCAATGAAGATTATTAGAAGACAAAGACATGTTCACCTCACCCGAGGTGACCAGGGTTAATATGCACTACTTCGGAAAATCAAAACAATTCTATAAAATTCAATCCGAGATGAAAGCATTGGAGAATTATTTAGTTAGCGAACGAGTACATTAAATTTAACATTTTTTCCAATTTCATGTCCTCATCGTACGACTTTAATTTTAAATTGTTGATTCATTTTATATCGGAGCGACTACATTCACTTCTTAAACCCATAGCCTGGCTTATCATTAAAAGGCAGGCCAGTTCTGTTGAAAACTTACACAATTTGGATAAAGCCATTATAGGATTCCGGTGATACTGGTTTTTATTTGCCTAATGCCACTTCCTTCATTCTGTTGAGGGCTGACCCGGCTCTGAACCACTCAATCTGCTGCTCGTTCATGGAGTGGTTCAGTTTGATTTCCTCGACCTTGCCGTTCTTGTGATGGACGCGACACGTTACGGGCTGAAAAACAAAAATATCAATATGCTTCAAATCAAATAACTGTAACAATAGTTATCAGAAGAACAACTTCCCAGGAAATAAGACTGTAAATTACAACAAACACCCCTAACTTGAATCATTGCCATCGATAACGAAACGAAAACGCTTCTTTATCAATAACCCAAAAGACATAAACACACCATAACGTCAAAAGTAGTCTTTCCTTGATCAAATTGCACAAATCAACCGTCTAAACAAAGTGATCTTAGGCAGCGATGAGAGATATCTTAGTATTGGAAATAATGTCAAGTCTTTTAGTGTAAAAAGCCCACCTTGCCAGGCGTGAGATATCTTAGCATGGGAAACAATTTCAAGTTATTCAGTTTAAATGCCCACCTTGCCAGGCGTGAGATATCTTTGCATGGGAAACAATTTCAAGTTATTCAGTTTAAATGCCAACCTTGCCAGGCGTGAGATATCTTAGCATGGGAAATAATTTCAAGTTATTCAGTTTAAATGCCCACCTTGCCCGGCGTGAGGTCCTTGAGTCCGACAAGAGAGATCTTATCGTTTGCGTCTATCTTGTCGTAGTCAGCGGGGTCGGCGAAGGTGAGGGGCAGCATACCCTGCTTCTTGAGGTTCGTCTCGTGGATGCGGGCGAAGGAGCGCACGATGATCGCACGGCCTCCCAGGTGCCGGGGCTCCAGTGCTGCGTGCTCGCGGGAGCTACCCTCGCCTGGATAATGTCAATATTTCGAATAAGCGAAATTTAACTTATAATATAAGTTATATATTATATATTTATATTATATTATAACATTTTTATAATATAATAACTTATAAGCGGACTGATTTATAAGCGCAGAGATAACGAAATATCATCTCTGAGCTTATAAGTTATTCCAATAAAAGTCAATTTTTATTTCACTTAAAGAGGCTCAAGAGGCATTAGCTGGATAAAAATTTGTGAAGCATCAGGACGGTGCGGCACAATAACAGAGGGGAGCTCATGTGATCTTCCCTTCTCAATTATTCAAGAATTTAATTCAAATTCACACTAAACTAACCCACATATTAAAATAAGTAAAATTCCTAATGAATGTCACTGACACTTGATAATAATAATAACCAATACGTAACGATAGAATAAATTTAAAGTTTTTTCCACACAAGCGAGTGGAGGCACAGACATAACCCACAGTACACAACTCACCTAACCTACACAGCTATGAACTCACAAGCACAGCGCAAATGACCGTAGTAAAGATAAGACTATGAAGTTTTTTTCACATATATGAGTGGAGGCACAAACATAACCCACAGTGCATAACTCACCTGACCTACAAGACTATGAGCATCACAAGCACAGCGCAACTGACCGTAGTAAAGATAGACTATGAAGTTTTTTTTGTCACACAAGCGAGTGGAGGCACAGGAATGACCCACAGAGCACGACTCACCTAACCTAAAAGACTATGAGCATCACAAGCACAGCACAGCTCACCGTAATAACGATAGCATAAATATAAAGTTTTTCTTCACATATATGAGTGGAGGCACAGACATAACCCACAGTACATCACTCACCTAACCTACACGGCTATGAGCATCACAAGCACAGCACAGCTCACCGTAGTTATCGTCGCCTACGACACACCACTTGACGCCGGCCGCCTTGTAGGCGCGGGCGGTGGCTGGCACGGGCCCCCACTCTCCGGTCTGCTTGTTCTGGACTTTGTTCATCTCGCCGTTCTCAGCATTAACCGCCGTCAGGAACATGTTGTTCGAGATGTTGTCCAGGTGCCCACGGAACCGTAGCCAAGGACCAGCAGCCGAGATGTGGTCAGTCGTGCATTTCCCTTTAGTCTGCATTACACAAATATTAGCGCATGAATTAGGTTGTAACGGTGGTAGAACATGGCAGATACAGCAGTGTGAACACAATCAATTGTGATGTTTGATGTGAAAAAGATGTTTGAGTGAAGCAAGTGTTAATGAGGACTTCCAGCAGCATATTTGCGAGTCAATGTAGGACATACGAGGCAACCTAAGAAAGAGCATCAGTAACCTTGATAAGAATGGTCATGGCCTCGAGGTCCTTGCCATCCCATTTATCGAAGGGCGTGAGCAGCTGCAAGCGCTTGGACTCTGGCGACACATCCACGCTCACACTGCTGCTGTCAGCGGGAGGAGGCTGCGGGAGAAGTCATCAAATTAATTACCTCGCTTGTCAATGATTCTAAATGATAGTAAGATGGATCCGTGCTCGAGTTACTTGAACATCTTTAATCTACGCGGCCTGTCCGAACGCAAATAAAATAATCATAACACAAAAGCAAAGGCTTTATTCATACTTAAAATTCATCACAAGATTGATAAACAAGAATTTGCGTCGGATAAACTGAATCATTGCTGTTCACTTTCTGCACACTTGGACAGCACAAATAAAATCAATGTATGATTTTATATACAATTAAAGTTACGGGCTTTCCTAATTTTCCCCCCCACACCAAGAAAAATCAATGCTTCAGCCGTGGATAGTTTCAAGGTTTTATAGAATTTTCTAAACATGAGCCATTCAATATATTATAGCCAAAATGTAACCAGTGCAATAACTTAGAACAACAGCCTGGCCGTACCTGGAAAGTATCCTCGCCAGGATCAAAGCCCCTTGCTGGGAGCTCAGCCGCGAAGGGATCATCAAGCTTGAATTTTTTGCCGTCGGCGCCGGTCTGTCAAACGGCAAGAATATTGAGACGAGGTAACGCAGTCCAACCGTATATTTGCATCGTTTGTCAAGAATATAAGGCAAGAATGCTGGACGAGGTAATATTCATACGGTCCTACCATTTCAGAATATCACTTGAAAAAAAAAAATTTGATACGATTGTACCATATAAGGCAATAATATTTGGATAAGGTAATGCAGTCCTTCCACTTCAGATTAGCAGTTGACACGACTGCTTAAGGCAATAATATTTCATGAAGAAACGCAGTCCTACAGTTTCATATAATTTGACACGACTGTGCGACGTACACGTACAAGATAATGCGATGCAGTTGAATGATCTTAGTCGTATTTCAGCACAACCTTTTTTGCAGCATACGCTGCAAAGCAACTTTTAAATAAAAAAATCTGAACGAAAACGAGATTAGCATCAGGAGAAGATCAAAGCACCTCTAGGAAATCTAGTACCTCGATTACCCTACCAGTTCATGCTTCCTGGGATCGAAGTCAAGAGTACCGGCCAGCGAGAGAGCCGTCACGATTTCCGGTGACGTTACGAAGCAGTGAGTGTTGGGGTTGGCGTCGTTACGACCAGTGAAGTTACGGTTGTAGGAAGTCACAATTGTGTTCTTCTCGTTCTTCTCAACGTCTTGTCGGTCCCACTGACCGATGCAAGGGCCGCACGCGTTCGCCAGAACAACGCCACCAAAAGAACGCAGAGTCTCTGCCTGATGGCGGATATGGATGTGAAAATGTGAAAACGATGTTTGAATATAAGTGAAATTTAAGATCAAATAACACATTGAATTCAATTGACATAAAAAAAGCTTGCGCTGTCTCAAATTTATTCATAGAAAATACATTTTCATGGCTGGTCTTCGGAATTAGCAATAATGAGTGACAGGCAGCCCCGTATCAGCGGCAGTTATTCAGTATACAAACAGTTCACTTTATACTCCAAGAGTAACAAAATATTCCAATACAACTATTGACCAAAACTAACATTGGAATAAGATTAGAAATGACTTGCAAAATGATTATAACAAATGGCAGCGATATCAATTGTATGTGGGAAAAAAGTATCGAGACAAAGTAACAAACAAGAGGTGATGGTCTCTGCTAATCAAATATTTAACAGCAATCATTTAGGGGATGACAGAGGAACAACAAATGAAGAGCCTGACGATTTAACGCTCAAATAAAAAAAAAACGTGTAACTCACAATGCCATCCCTTTCGATGGTGGCCCTGATTTGCTCCGAGCCTGGCGTGATGTGGAACAAGGACTTGGACTTGAGGCCATGTTGCATTGCCTGCTTAACGATGGAGGCGCAGCGTCCCATGTCCTCGTAGGAGCTGTTCGTGCAAGAGCCTATGAGGCCAACCTTCACGTCCAGCGGCCAGTTGTTCTTCTTAGCTGCGTCGCCAACCTACGACAAATCCAACCTTATAATATATACATGGTAACTAAACACTACATGGAAAAATGTTTTATAATCTATGTCTTTAGGCCCTATGTATGCGAAGTTCAAACACATGAAATGGGCTAAATTCTTCCTAAACATGTTTGATCACGAGATTTTTTTCCCGTCACGAAATGCGTGAAATAGTGGAAAATTCTCACCTTGTCCACAGGATGCGCGAGATGGTGGAGGGTTCTCACCTTGTCCACAGGATGCGCGAGATGGTGGAGGGTTCTCACCTTGTCCACAGGATGCGCGAGGTCAGGCGTGAAGGGTCCGTTGATGTGAGGCTCGAGCTCAGATAAGTTGATTTCGATGAGGCGGTCGTAGGGCGCGCCCTCGTCAGGAGTCAGCAGGTTGAGGTTGTCGTCAGCGAGGCGCGCGATGTCAGCGCGGTTCGTGGCCACCAGGTAGTTGTGCATGCGACTGTTGTACGGGAACACTGACGTCGTCGCGCCTATAACAGATGTTCATAGCTTATTATATATTGACATTAGACCAGCACAACGGATGCCAATACCGATTACTTATTTTTTTTTAAGCAAGATAGAAATCGGTGTCAACTTTACAGCGCATAAAACATTTATATAATTGAGACCCAGCAAAGAACTCAAAGGTGAAAAAATTATTGACAAAAAAAATACAATTCAACAGGAGGTGAGATAATCACATATGCAGGGGAAGAAATTACCAATTTCAGCGCCCATGTTGCAGATCGTGCCCATGCCGGTGCAGGAGATGGAGTTGACGCCAGGCCCGAAGTACTCGACGATGGCGCCTGTGCCGCCCTTCACAGTCAGGATCCCGGCCACCTTCAGGATCACGTCTTTGGGGGACGTCCAGCCTGAGAGCTCGCCGGTCAGCTTCACGCCTATCACCTGAACACAGCAAATACATAGTTTATTTGTGATATATTTATATTGTGACAATGTCATGAAGAAATCATGTACATACAGTGTATTTGTGACATATTTATATAGTGACAATGCCATGAAGAAATCATGTACATACAGTGTATTTGTGACATATTTATATAGTGACAATGTCATGAAGAACTCATGTACATACAGTGTGTTTGTGACATATTTATATAGTGACAATGCCATGAAGAAATCATGTACATACAGTGTATTTGTGACATGTTTATATAGTGACAATGTCATGAAGAAATCATTTAAATATAGTGTGTTTGTGACATGTTTCTAAAGTGACAATGTCATGAAGAAATCCTGTACATACAATATATTTGTGACATGTTTATATAGTGACAATGCCACGAAGAAATCATTTACAGTGAGAATTGCAATACAGTATAAATAACTTAAAGGCCAAAAGCGTTAAGAGGGGGGGGGGGGTTTCCCTAAAGTTATTGAATTTGGCTTTTCTGGTTTTTAGTCTCATCTTAAAGGTAACATTCTGCCCTATCCAGCGGTACTATTATCATCACTGTACGTTGATTTATGCGTTCACGACAGATCATGAAAGGGGTGGGGGGTGGGGGAGTTCTTTAACAAATAAGATAGGAGGTAATTCGCTGCCCGGCACTTTAAATACAGTGTCTGCTTGAAGTGCAGCTCAGTAACCCGCCTGGCGTCGTATGAGGAGGTATGCATGCAGTCGCTCCAACCAACCTTGACTGGAATCAAGCTCCAGTAACGTTTAGTTTTGTATCCTTGCTACATTGAGTGCCCATTGCGATGCGCGCGGGACTTTGTCGGGCTGTACTGAACATTCACACTTATTGTCACGGCAAACCTATCTCCTCCTAGAGTTTTGAAGCTACAGCAATGAGACATATACCATTCGATTTGTAAAGACCATAGGTACCTATCGAGTTATCGAGCTCTTTTTTTAGATTTGTGCATAGTTTGGATTCAAATGGGGGGAGGGGGGAAAATTTGAAGCAAATTTGAAGAAAATGAGAAAAAAATGAGAAGAAAAAGGAAAAATGCGTGTAAAAAAAACTAAGGCAAAAATAAAAAATAAGGCTCAATAACTCGATAGGTATGGTCTTTACGAATCGAATGGTATATGCCTCATTGCTGTAGCTTCAAAACTCTAGGAGGAGCAATGTAGCTTCAAAACTCTCTCTATGAATTTCACGTTTTCTATTAATTTTTCCGGAAAGAATCGTACGAACAAAATGTGCTTGTATTTCTGTTTTACATATATGTGTGAAGTTTCAGAAAGATCCATTAGTAAATGTGGAAGTTTTTCTGGAGGTATACCCCCCCCCTCCCTTTAACATTGCAAAAGGATCTTCATTAACACTTTATAATGAAATGGAGTTCAAAAGCATCAGATGAGACGAAGTAAAAGCTGATTTAAGAAATATGGCTTGCCTCTGCGGCAAAATACCCCCAAAGTCAACATTACAAGATTCATCAAAAAATCAAACACAGATTCAGAAATGCAACAAAATTCACATCAAGTTATCTGAATAAAAAAATGTGCGCAAAGAATTCAATGACTCATAGAAGAGCGTTATGTGGCGTTATTATGCATTAAATGCATTGTTATTTAGGACTAAATCTTGTTTCACTGAAGGTATACTATCACTGAAGTATGAATCTAGTTTCACTGAAAATCTAGTTTCACTGAAGTTTAAATCTAGTTTCACTGAAAATCTAGTTTCACTGAAGTATAAATCTAGTTTCACTGAAGGTACCTATGTCACTGAAATATAAATCTAGTTTCACTGAAGGTATAACCTTGGGACACTTGAGTTCCCAGGGAATGTTGGCCATGACATCGACGGCGTCTGCGCCGCCCACGCCGATGCACAGGCCCCCCAGGCCGCCCCCGTTGGGGGTGTGGGAGTCCGTGCCTATCATGAGCAGGCCGGGGAACGCGTAGTTCTCCAGGATGATCTGCACGCAATTGGTCAATTAGTTGGGTTATGGTGGGACCAAATGGATACACAATCCTGCACTACTGGTTTAGTATTGAGTTATCGTTGATTAAAATGCAATGAAATAGAAATATGCGTTTAGAAATTACTTTTTAAAGACAATACTTGTATAGAGGCACTGTATAGGATGTTATACATGTGCAACAAATTTCTATTTGTATTTTTAAACATTAAAAAATGTTACATTTTTTTAATACTAAAAAAAATTAAAATTTCAAAAGTATTTATTTTGTCAATTGATTCATGCATTGTCTTCAACTTTACGCAAGTGTTCAAAATTTCAGATCGATTGGATAGATAGAAGTGTGTTAAAAATCGATTATAAGATTTGTAGCAGACAAACAAACAACAAGAAGTGAAGTTAAAGAGAAGTATTGTAATAATATAGCAAGAAATTAGAGCAGTGAGCAAGGATACAAAGGAATCTTATCTGCTTTCAGAAATCAAGCCCAGAAAGTTACGGAATAGGTGTAGAATACCAGACGTTAAAAAAATAACATACAAGTGAAATAATTTTATCCATGCCGTTCCTACTAGAGGTAGGTAAATGAGATGCCTAAGCATCAATTTATTATAATTCTTAAACACAATAGTGTAATAACTTATTTACAATACATAACATGCAATCGTTCACAACAAGATGAGCAAAGAATTTTGGACCACCTGATGGATGATGCCAGACCCAGGCTTCCAGAAGCCAACGCCATACTTGGCTCCAGCAGTCGACAGGAAGTTGTACACCTCAGCGTTGAGTTCCTTTGCTCGCTGCAGATCTTTAGCTCCCTCTATCTGTAAGTCAAAAATTTGTTAATCAACAGTATGAACTACAGAAGCTACACTAATATTGTAAAATTGTTCCTAAATATATGGAATGTTACAAACTCAGCATATCGATGAGCTGACTGGATACAAGCAGCTATAGTATCTCATAAGAATTAAGCAATGGAGGAAATTAGAAATGGATGACAGGATGAGAAAACATGAACATAGCTAATTGAGATACCTATAGTAACAAATTTTGCTTGATAGGCATGTATGCAACAATCAAATCAAACAGAGACCAGAATTTGGCGGTCAAAACAGCATTAGCACTTCTCATTTCAATCTGAGCTGAAGTTAGTGGTTTACTACAGTCACAATGCTGGCTTCTTGTGCAACAAGGCTCAAGGAACAACAGCAGTGATGGCATACAGAGCAGTAACTTGCAACTGGGTATTCCGAATGTTGTTCTGGATTGCTCAAGCTCAAGAAGAAAAGACCAGTAGAAGAAGCACCTGACTAAATACAAGCTATGCATGACCAACGATGACTTCATAGGTAAATGAAAAGACGAAAATGAAGGGTTAGGGTGGCAGTACCTGGGCTTGGATCAAGTGATCGCAATGAATTGTAGATGGCACAGCAACACGTGGCAGGCCAGAACTAATAAACTGTAGCATGGCCATCTGTGCAGTGGCGTCCTGCATGGCCACTCGGTCAGGTCGCAGCTTCAAGTAAGACTCGCCACGCACAAGCTCGGAGGAGACTGGGTCATCCAAGTGGGAGTACAAGACCTTCTCCGACAGAGTCATCGGGCGCCCCAGCCTAATACAAAAAAATATAACTCAGTACTCACTGCAGTGAGTGACAGAAAGCACATTTTCTCGACGAAAACTTGAGGTCACGAACGGACAGACGGACTGACAGAAAGACAGACGGACATGGCGAGCACAATAGTGCATTTTTCCCATAAATGAGAAAGTGTGCTAAAAATGAAAAATGTGACCCACGAAAAAGAGCTATTATTTAAAGCCTGTCATAGAACCCCCTCCAATTTTTTGGGGGGGAAAATAACTCCAGGTTTTGGTGCATTGTGGTAGAACTCTTCTAGTTACAAATGCAAATGACAAATTTGAGGAAAGTGTCATAGTTTGCAAATGGGGGGCGCTGCCCCTGAATGGGGGAACTTAGACCACCTAATGTCAGCCCTGATGGGGTAACATAGACCGGCTTGAAAATTAATTTAAAATTACCATATATAACATATTTCATGTTTGACACACCTATTAATGTTTATTTCCTTATGTTTCAGACTCTACAGAGTCTTATATATGGTAATTTTAACTTAATTTACAAGCCAGTCAATATTACCCCTTCACGGCTGACATTAGGTGGTCTAAGTTCCCCCATCTGGGGGCAGTGCACCCCATTTGAAAACTATGACACTTTCTTCAAATTTGTCATTTGCATATGTAACTAGAAGAGTTCTACTACAATGCACCAAAACCTGGAGTTATTTGAAGTTATTTTACCAAAAAATAAAATTGATTTTACCACCCGGTCCAAGTTACCCCAAGAGCTGGGGTAACAAAGACCATCACTTTCTTTGAAATTACATAAAAACTATGAGAGGCAGGAGCCAGCAATTTATGGTGAGTGAACCTAGAGTATAGACCTGTTTTTTGCATGTTTCAATTCAAGTTTAATTTAGCTAGTAAAAAATGACATCATTTAAAAAAAAATAGTCTAAGTTACCCCATTTTACGGTAGCAACTTTTTTCCATAAATGAGAAAATGCACTAAAAACTCTGTTCATTGACTACAATTTCCCTTACAATTTCCTTCATTGACTACAATTTTAGAGTTACATGTAAAAGTACCTATGCAATTTTTGTTAAGAAACTTGATGTATACTTGGCTTTCTTGAGCTGTACTATCAATATTACACAACACAAATCTACAAATTTCCAGTTCTTTCTCACATACCGGAAGTGAAATTAATTGATGTATACTGCATCATAAGGCTCAACATTAATTAGGCCTAGCCTCAATGGCATTCTTTTTAATAAAAATCATACTGTATATGCACACAAATATGTAAATATTTACCTTTACATTTATATATTAGTATTAGATTCCAGAATTTGCTTGTTGATACATGTGCAATTAATGACCACAGAATTTTTTAACTTGAATTATCAGAGAGCGGAACAATTCATCAGATGACATTGGTGATGGAAAGGCACGTTTCAGGAAGTAGTTTCAGCTTATTAATGGTGTTTGGAATGCAACAAACATTCATTTTCATGTCACAAGAAGCATCAAGTATTGAGAAGCATCATCTTCAAGCAGTGGCCTGACATCAACCAACCGACAATAGCTGAACTCCTCGACTCTATGGATTAGACTCCAGCATCTATCTCCTAACTACTGGATTGTCTGAACTTTGAGATAGCATCCAGAGTAATTTTTATGGTTTAAAATTTTACTGCGGAATCCTTTTTATATGTACTTATTTCCAGAAAAATTTTAATTTTAATGCTTCTTGTAACTTAAAAATGAATGTTTGTTGCATTCTAAACATCATTTATAAACTAAAACTACTCCCTAAAATGTGCCTTTCCATCTACCAACATCATCTGATGTACTGTACCTATTGTTGAACTCTCTGAATTTAAATCAACAAATTCTTTGGTCTTCAATTCCAAGTGTATATTAATTCAATATACCTACCTACTGTTACTATTAGGGAAGAAGCCCTTCCTGATGTCTTTCCAATGAAAAGTTGGACCAGCTGTCTTTCAAGTTTCTAATGGCAAATTTTCAAGATCTTAAAACAAATTAGCTTATTGTTAAGCATCTTCTAACTTATGAGCTCCATATCTATCAAACCAGACATAAGAATCTTCATAGTCAAGCCGATTTTTTTTAGTAATGGACACATGCACCTAGGTTTAATGAAAGAATTGAAAACATAATAGTTTTGGATGCAGCAATTAAAGTTAAATCTGAAGCTTCTGGATTAGCCAACTGTCCTACTATTGGCTACAAGTTTCTAAGACTGCCATGGAGAGTGATAGTAATTGAGGGAATGAAGAAAGAAGTTTTTAGAACCTCAATAACCGCTTTTGAATCATATTGGTTCATTTATACTAAGACAGTGAGTACCGGTGCATCATTTGCTATTCAAGACACAAATGCCAACTGAAGATTCAACAATTTCCAGCATTTTTACACAAAAATTATTCTTCTCTCTCCAAATAAAAGCTCAATTTGATATATGGATAGAAGAAAACAACAATTTTATTCAGCATCAAAGAATCACTACTATATCTTTATACAGGACTCAAGTATAAATGTACAGGTCAATCCACAACTCAAAGGACACGTGTATCCTTTGAGTAATACCACACAAATGAGTCCTAAATGGCACAAATAAATACCTGTTTTTCACCACATGATTTTCTTGCAGTTTGTCTAAATGTCACAAATAAATACCTGTTTTTGACCACATGAAGATTTTCTTGCAGTTTGTCATATGGCATGTAGGAGTCCTTGTCAAGGTTGCTCATGGCAATCCTTGCAGCTGCTGCTGCCAGTGGAGACATGCTGAGGCCTCTGGCCTGCACCCCACCAAACTTGCAGAGGATGGCATGTCTGCACATCTGCACACACAACAAGTATTATCACCTGGCTCCTAAATAACTTTTAAACTTCAATTCCTCTTGTACTTGTCAATCAATATCTTATGTTATTTTTTATCTGGTCCATATTTTACGCATTAGGCTTTAATCTCTTCATGAGTACATTTTGAATTTCTCTTCTGAATGTACTTCTATTCTCTAGATTTTTAAAATAATCATGGAGCAGTTCCCTGAAACCAGGGCTGGAAAAGTCCTATTTTTTCTGAAATATTGTGGCTCTAATATCATATAATTTTAGTAAGTACCTACCTATGAAATCTTGCGGCTCAAATGTCCTAAATTTTTTTTTTGGAAAAATTGCAGTTTGCCTCTGCAAAAATGTCATTTCATAAAATTATCAAACTTCTGCAATCCGCATTACATTACCATGCCCGCCAAAATATCCTGCAGAACGTAATTATCATAATAAAAAGTCAACCTGTCCTAAACGTTTCATTGAAAATATTGCTTAGCTGCAGTCACGTTACAGCGATCAAACTGCTTTAACACGTGTTCAGCTTACAGTAAAGACAAATGTTATTGTTGCCATTTGACTGTTTTAGGGGAAAATTAGAGATTTGGGATAACATGTGCATGGACTTAGTAGAGAAATTTGCCATTTGTAAATGGCTTTTGATGGCTGAGATATGGAATTCATGATTCAAAGAAATGGAATCATGGCTGGCAAATCCATAAAACCATGGCTCAAAAAATTCAGTAGTGGCTTGCCAAGTAGATATATTACAGGCTTGCCTGAAAACATTGCAAAACAGATATAGTGAATAAAGATATAGGGAATTTACTTTTCATATGATTTACTTTATATACTATGTAAGACTGCAATTTGTCAGATTTAATAAACACAAATTGACATATTATAACTATGAAGCTCTTTTCATTGCGCTAGAAAGTATTAGTTGAATTTTGTTTAGTATCGAAATGGTCTCTATTTAAGAATCTAGGCTGTCAACATAACAGCTCTGGCACGCAGGCTAGAATTTTTGAACAGTGCATAGAGCTTTTGTCATTTCTGGGCAGATGCATGTCCATCTCTAAACTGTAATGGGTTGTGTTCACTGTTCAATATACTGCGTGTAATGGTTAATTAAATACCTTTCAAGAATTCCTGCCTGCGGCACCACTGGCCGGAGACAACTTAAATCAAAATTCCAATTTTCAATTTAGCATTGACATTGACATAAAGTGAAGCAATTCATAGGTCATAATTACCTGAAAAAAAAAATAAATTTTATACCTTGGTTCATGCCCCATAGTAATTCTTGTGATATAACTGCTGCTAGCATATTTCATTGCCTACAGAATTTGACTAAAACAATATTTTATAAAAAACCTAAAAAATATTATTTTGATTGTGAAAACTGACAAATGATGTAATTTCGATTAAAAGTTCAATGCTCTCTAATTTATACAGGAATTTAGAAATGACAAATTCAGAATGACATTCAGAATTTCAGATAGGTATATCATTGAGATAGGAAGTTGTCACTTGTCCCACAGTCGCACTTGACTTGACAAGAATAACATAGAACTTAATGATAGACGACTCCTGTGACCTGTGTCATCTCCATTAGTCTGGAATAGTGCAGCAGACTGGCAGAGGAGAAACTTTTTGGTACCTTTCCCTTTTGTTCATTTTGAGGCCAATATGAGGAGTAGACCAGTCACCAATAAGACCAGTAACTAGGTCTAGGCCTAGTCTAGTAAGTATCATGGATACAGCATGCTGCCATGCTCATAGTACAGTGAGGCTCCATAGTGGCAAAGCTGCCAAAGCAAAAAGTTTTTTAGACTCTCCCTTGGCCTCAAGTTTATTTACAATTGAGTCCTATATGTAGACCAGTAAAGTATCCTGGATACCTAGGGTAAATGCAGTATATTCCAATACATTAAGGATGTAGCAAAAATGAATGGATATAAAAAAATCACCGTATGCACAACTCGAGTTCTGTTTGCTTTACATCACTCTCAAAACACCGCACTACGCGCCAGCAACAATGAAACATCACAAAATGTTGCCATATTAATTTAAAAGCCTTTAGAATGCAAACCTACCAAATCCATATATTCTGACACTGTGTGTGACTAAATTTGGCATTTTGCAAGACTAATTCCAGCCGCGCTTCAAACTCTACTACTACGTAATTCCGGCATCCTTGTGTTCGAATTCCGATCGCTGTGTGAGCTGTATTGGAATACGAGACGGCTTTTAATTAACAGCTATTAAGCTTTTAATTAAGACAATTTTAATTTTTGCACACAGCTTGGAACGAGCTGTGTGTGTCCAATTCAAGTTGTGTTGGAATTAGTTTTTATGTGTCTAAATCCGTTTCTTAACTTAATCATCTATTAATTTATTTACCACTTGAAATCAGCAACTACAAGTATACATAAAGGATTCCTAATATATTCACAGACGTACAGCAATCCCTTGATTAGCACGGTTTTGAATACCACGGTTTTGATTAATGCGGAAAAAAAATTTGTGACCTACCCTTAATCTACGAGGTGCCAGTTTTGATTAGCGCGACTTTTTTTTCACAACGCATCATTTTCCCGTCTCTAGCCAGAGGTGTTACATTCGTAACAAAAGCGTTACTTTTTGCTTATTAGATCTTATGTTGTTACGACTTTTGGAAAAATTTGCCAAATGTTGTTACTTTATGAATTTCAGCCAATAATTCTTTAAATAAGGTCCCATTCCGTAGGCACCTGTGCTGACAACAAAGTCGGTTTAACCGCGCCTTGTCTTGTTCATAACTCAAATGGTCGAGTTTGGCAACGTTCGCTGGTAAGTGCGCCATGCCGGTGCTCTAGTTACTTGTTAGCCTTCAACTGGTCAAGATTGCTGCCATATCTACTGTACTGCTCACTTTTATCAAACTACATTATTTTCCTTGATAAATTACCGTCATAATTATGGACAAAAAGGGAACGCTTAAACGTAAAAATATCACTTTGGAGACTAAGCTTGAATGATGAATTGAACTAAGCAAAATATGATGAATTTTAGTGGAAAAAAAAATTATTATGTAACTTTGCTATTTTTGAGGATTCATTATAATTATTCTCATATATTCTTAAGTTTGATTAGCGCGGTTTTGCTTCACACGGTATAACTCGGGGATTTATTAACCGTGTTAATCAAGGGATTGCTGTATTCAAAAGTCTCAAACCATAATATTCTTTCTACACAAACAGTTTATCACTATTTGGTAGAGCAAGGTCAACTATCAACTAGGACACATTTTTTGATGATCTCACTGGGTGGCATGCACTGCCTCTCTTTGGATCTCAACATTTTCCTGCCAGGTGGCCCAAACCTAGTGTTTTGTCAATAGTTTGGTGCGCAAAGGTATGACGTCACTATTTCAACCATCAACAAATGCGTGGAACTAAGACAAAGCTTTAGGTATATAAAGAAAAAACTAGAGAGGTGTCGGAATTACCCACGATGTCGGAATATACCGCGTTTACCCCAACTAGGCCTAGTCTAGTAAGTATCATGGATACAGCATGATGCCATGCTCCTAGTACAGCTACAGTGAGGCTCCATAGTGGCAAAGCTGCCAAAGCAGAGAGATTTTAGACTCTCCCTTGGCCTCAAGTTCATTTTTGAGTCCTATATGTAGACCAAGACCAGTAAAGTATCCTGGATAGGCCTACCTACATTATCATACATTTCCTGGATAGGCCAAAACATTATCATACATAAGAAATTGGTTTAAATTGTGAGTAAATGAGGAAATTAAAAATGAACTGATTCTAAAAAATTTGTGGTTTGTCAGTGACATACACTGTTCAGTTACACAACTTGTGTGTAACAGTAAGTAACACTGTACAGTAGCGGCAAAGCAGAGAGTTTTTTAGACTCTGTCTCAAGTTCATTTTTGAGTCCTATAACCCTTTACGCCCTGGCGTAACGAATTCGTCACACCAGGGACTAGCTACCTTTTCCAACAATTTCACGTTTTCTGTCATTTTTTTTAAATTCACAGGAATAAAAAAAGTCTTAGACTTATTTTTTACATATGTGTACCAAGTTTCAAAGTTATCTGTCAGTAAATAACCGAAATATAATCTCCAATTTCCAATGGCAATGTCCAATTTCTTATGGAAATTCTATTTCGGTTATTTACTAACAGATAACTTTGAAACTTGGTACACATATGTAGAAGATAAATCTAAGACTTTTTTGTTCGCAGGAATTTTTCGAAAAAAGTGAAAGAAAATGTGAAATTCTTAGAAAACCGCCAAAAAGGGGGTACTGTAGAAATCTATCTCCTCCTATGATTTTCAAGCTACAACATCGAGACGCATATCATTCGATGCGTAAGGACCATATCTACCATCGATTGGTCCTTGCTGTTTTTCGAAATTCTAATTTTTGTGGGTGGGGTGGGCATTTTTCAAAAAAAAATTATTTTTCCTCCCACCCTTTCAAATTTCCCCTCCCCTTTTTTCAAAATATTTTCAAAACTTTAACGAAATTGAAAAAAAAGCTTCGACCAATCTCTAGATCTTTTATTTGCGAATTGAACGGTTTATTACTCATTGCTGTAGCTTAAAAACTCTGGGAGGAAATAGGTTTGCAGTGACAAAAAGTGTGAATGTTCAGTAGAGCGCGACAAAGTCCCGAGCGCCTCGAAATAGGCATTCAAGGTGACATGGATGCAAGACTGGACATTACTGGAGCCGAAATTCAGTCAAGGATAGTGGGAACGACTGCATGAGGGGGACCCAAAGCCCATGTTTTTTGGTGCTGCCGGCCTGCGGTTCCCCACGTGTGGTCAGCGTCTCTGTTGCTACTAGCGGGGGATGTCAAGGAGAACCCGGGTCCAAGGAGAGCCCGGGTCAGGGAGAACCCGGGTCCGACTTGGATGTGTGACATATGCAATAGGCAAATCACAGAAAACCAATACTCAGTTGTCTGTAATAGTCTTGCCCCACATTGGGTCCATAAAAAATGCACAAACATAACACTCCGTCAATACACAAATTCCTGGACCTGTCCCCAACACACTCCACCATTCCCTCCCAGGCCTGATACAGAGCCACCACCAGCATTGCAACTTGTTTCGAACCCAGCCACTGCACCCCAATCTCCGTTGCCCCCACCAGTCACAATCCCACACAACCCCTATCTCCACCAATCAGACTCCGAAAAACACCCTCTGATATCAAGATAATGCAAATAAATACAAATGGACTCACAAACAAAATAGAAGACCTCAAACTAACCACAAAACAACATGACATCGACATCATCACAATCCAAGAATCCAAACTTAAACCAATGACTCGCACACCCACTATACCTGACTATACTGCTATTCGTCACATGACAGGAGGTGGACTCATCATCTACATTCATAATAACATAGTTTTCACAACTATCACTATTCCACAACACATCAACCAAGAAGCCACTGAAACCCAACTAGTCAAAATACATCTCTCTAACAACAAATTCGTCCACATAGCTAACATATACATCCCTCCCAGGGACACACGCCTACCACACCAACACAACCTAGACCAACACATCACTGACTGTTTCACATTCCTCCTCAACAAGCCCTACACCATTATTACTGGAGACATAAATGCCCACCACCCATCCTGGTACTCTCCTAACTCAGACCACAGAGGCATCCTCATCAACTCACTTATACAAAATTCCAACCACATCATTCTCAATGAAAACTCGCCAACACGCATACCCACTACAAGAGAACAGCAACCCACGTCACCAGACATATCTACAGCCTCAAACGTCATCTCAAGCAAAATAACAAGGTCAACTATCACAGCTCTCAGTTCCAATCATGTTCCTATCATATTGCACTTTTGCACAAAAACCAACTACTGCATAAAAACCTATAACAGATCTTTCACAAATTACCACAAAGCAGACTGGACAGCTTACTCGCAGGAAATAGACCAAGAGCTCCGTGACACTCCAGCACCCACCAACGTTCACATTGCTAATAAGATACTTACTGGACTCATTCTACAAGCAGACAAACACCATATACCCAAAGGAAAAATAAAAACAAAACAGACACCTCTACCCCAAGCCATCAGAGACAAAATACAAGAATGCAACCACATCAGGACACAAAACAGACATGACCCATCTATCCAACAACTTAACAGAGACATAGACCTTGAAATAACACACATAAATGCAACCTATGGAAAGAGCACCTCGATCGAAACTGGAATAACAAACACAACACACACATTCTCTGGAAGACAATCTCATCACTTTCAAATAAAACACCACGCCAAGAACCAAGCAAAACTATACAATTCACAAACACAACAGCATATGCTGACAAAGAGAAGGCAACACAATTCAACAAGCAGTTCATAAACACCAAACCGCACCAAACTGCACACAATAACAGGATAACAGACAGAAGAATTAAATCTTTAAAGGGCAACCCAATAAATATAACAACAGCCATGACCACACTCGCCATAAAAAACAGTAAAAATAACAAATCAACTGGACCAGACCACATCAATATACTCCATCTCAAACACCTGGGCCCCACAGCAATTACATACCTAGCTCAAATTTACAATATTGCAATAAACTCCAACACAATACCCCATACCTGGAAGCTAGCCAAGACAATTCCAATACCCAAACCTGGCAAAGACACTAACATGGGGTCATCTTTTCGACCAATTTCTCTTCTAAGTCCAATAGCCAAAACACTGGAAAAAATTATCCTTGCCACAATCTCATCTCATCTCCCTAACATTGAACACCAACATGGCTTCAAACAACACCATTCTACCATTACAGCACTCCAACATATCACAGAACACATAGCCACACAACACTCACGATAAAGCCAATAATACCATCAAAATAATCAAATCACTTACAGCCACACAATGGGGAAAACAAAAAGAACTACTCACAACCACATTTCAAACAATCACGCGTCCAATCCTTGAATACGCAAACTCATCCTGGTCACCAATTATATCACCCACACAAATGAACAAACTCCAAACAGTCCAGAACGCAGCACTCAGGATAGCCACAGGCTGTACCGCAGACACCAACATCCACCACCTTCACCAAGAAACCAAACTCCTACCCCTAACACAACACCTCAAACTTCACACCTCACAACTCAGACAGAAAGCACAATACCCAACCCACCCACTACATACTCTCACCCTTCAGCCGCACCCACACCATCTCATGAAACAAACCATTTTCCACAACACGGGTTTCACCACCAACATAGATACTCCGCCTGCACAAGCTACACAGGACACAAACAAAATCTCAAAACAATCCACACTACAATTACAGAAAACTATCTTGCAACCCTCCCTTACAATAAAATTTTAAACATGCCCGCACCACAGATCCACCCATCTGAAATCAACCTATCTAGACCTGCACGCACCATGGTCAGGAAGATGTGCCAGGTGCGCGGGAATTTATTTTGTCATTTTAACGACCTGCGTGGTGCGCTGTACTATGCTGGTAAAAAAATGTGCCGTGCGCCGTACTTTAGAAAGCTAAAATATTTCTACTATTTTAGTCGACAATATACGCGAGTATATTGACTACGCGAGTCGAACTGATAATAATAAAATGTAAGACATGTCCGGGTTACTTCTGACTCTTCCGCTTGTCCGCCTTGTCGGATACGGAACGTACGGACGGTACGGTAATCGTAAACTGTGGCTATTATACATACGAAATGTAAACAGACGGTGTTCAGTGTTGCCATATGGCTTTGGAGTTATTGGAAGATAATTAAAGGCATACTGTACTGAGTAATGTGAGTATTACGTCTGTTCCTCCACAAACTGCTCGTGCGGCGTGCGCAGCAGCGCGACGTAGAATTGATGGCCGGGATTGCGCGAACACGTGCGCGAAGAGAATCAATTTTCATTACATTGCGCCAACTGTGCACAGCAATAGCTTAAAAAAAGTGAAAATGCGCGAGAAAATTCACCAAAAACATACATCATCCTGAGTGTGGTGCACGCAGGAACCTTGCCCAACTTTGCACAAATAAATCACCGCTACTTCTCACATATATAAATAAAATAGACCCTGCCACACACCCTTCTCCGCTTTGCCCACTCTGTCTGTCCAACACGCACGACACCATTCATCTTTTCACCTGCCCTGAAATGCCCACATCCCTGTCAGTGGATGACCTTTGGTCGGACCCCGTAAACGCTGCAGGGCTGCTGGCCCCGTGGCCCGCTGGGGTGACCGACTTGGCTGGCCCCAGAACTGGGGCTAGGGCTCTAGGCCCCGCCTTGCGCCATGAAGCGAGGCGGGGAGGGTCAACAACAACAACAACAACGACTGCATGAGCATTGAGCACCATCCCACACGACAGCAGCCGGGTAACTAAAGATCAGCGTCTTCAGGTTGCATATTTATGTGCCCAACCAGTAATTTTTGCCTATATTAAATGTGAAAGAACTCCCTCACCCCTAACACTTTCACGAACTGTCGTCAAGGCATAAATCAATGTACAGACTACAGAGATGATTTTGGTACCATTGGATAGGTCAGAATGTCAGCTTCAAAGTGAGACTTAAAACCAAACAAGTGAATTTTATGATTTTTGTCACAGAAATTCAGGGCGTAAAGGGATAAGTAGACCAGTAAAGTATCATGGATACCAGCATTATCATACTTAAGAAATTGGTTAAAATCTTGAGTAAATGAGGAAATTAGAAATGAACCGATTCTAAAAAATCTCTGGTTTGTACACTGATAATGCAGCAGCCGAAAAATAATAAGTAAGAAGACCCGAGTGACGAGTGTGAGAACACCCAGCCGGTGTCTGACAATCTCCTTAGCCTCAGTCCTCTTGCATAGTATGATAGTAGCAGTCGGCATTCATATGCTGTTACCCAGTTACATTAATGAAAAATTTTTAACCTAGTTTGACTGCGGTTTCAACTATCATTAACCTATAAAACCTTTATTTTAGGCTAATTTAAATAATAATTTACGACAATTACCTGGCTCCCTGCTAGGACAAACATTATATGCGGCTGCCTTTCCAAAGGAGACAGAACAAAAATCTAACACAACACCTATTGCGGCGGCTTCCTGCCGTCTACTAAACTTCTAAAGAGAAGTAAGCAGTCGGCAGATGGAGTCTGCTATATTTGCCACAGCTAAATTTTTCATAAATACACGAACATTTACTTGCAACACATACTGCCTGAATGAAATTGAGTCATTTGATCCACAGGCATAAATTTCAGTATGAACTTTTGGTTTACGTAAATGTTATTGTAGGCAGTGGTTCTGTTCCATTTATGCCTTCTAATTAATTACACATCCCTTCACGAATCCACAATTCTGATTGAAAATTTAACCTGCTCTTTTCAGGATTTTGTTTGAATTTTGGCTATACTTTGTAAATTCATTCTATCTGTTGATGATTTATTATCATAAAAATGACCGTTTTCGTGTGAGACATGATTGGACGGCAATTAGCAATAGCAATACATAATTAGCATTCTTCAATGAACCGAGAATTGATACCGCATCTAGGATATTTTAGGAAACTCATAGAAAAAACCCTAAAATATTTTCGTAAACTCAAATAGAACTCAGTCAGTTGAGCAGTCACTTTACTTTGTCATATTGGATTTATTGGAAGACGAGTCAGAAGAGAAGACCTAGACCACGACTCCACGAGGGCCAGCGAGTCAGTGACGTCCAGGCAACTGAAAGAGGTGGTTGTGTGACAGTGCTTCGGATAGGTTGTGATCAATACCTGCTTTTTGCACCTCCGTTGAAGTGTCTAAGTAGTCGATGGGAAACATAATATTTTTATAGGCAGAAATGATTTTTGTGAATATTTGCATTATTTTGAAAATTCAATTGTTATGATGGTTAGGCCTAATTTTAGTGAGTAGTAGAATATTAGCCTAACTACGTAAAGGACGAGCAGAAACATGTAAACGGCACTACATCCGTACATCGTTTGAGTAACAATCAATTTTTGTTCAGTTTTGTCCGAAGACCTGCTTGGGTTTTCACGAGTCAGCTGAAATACTACTTCAAATTTGTAAAGAATTTGTTGCCCTGCAAACGTTGGTAAATTAAACATTGATCTAATTGTTAAATTAAACATTGGTCTAATTAATCGTTAAACTTTTCGTCAGTTTAAACTCGTTCAATATTTTGATTATTTAATTTAGAAAATCCTCCAAAGTATCGATACTTTAAAAATTCAACAAAGTATATTCAACAAATTCAACAAAGCTTGGCACATGAACAATATTGAAAAAATGTCATAATTGCAAAATGTTTAGGTAAGATACACATGAACAATATTTTTGAAAAAAGTCGCATGAACGATGTTTGAAAAAAGTCTCATGAAATCTTATTTATTCATAAAAAGTCGCGTGAGCGATGTTTCAGATTCAGGTGTATGATGAGTATTACTATGAAAAGACCCATCCATCATCACCTTTTTCATGGTACAGTGAATCCCCACACATAAACGATATTGCGAGAAATGCCTCATGCAAGCTGTTTAAAAAATGACACATGGACGAAATTTCAAAACACTGCATTTACTGAGCATTGTAGCTCAGCTGAGCTGAGTGCCTCGTTATAAGGTACCTAGCTGTTAGCACATTTCTAAATCCAACAAATCTTATAGATAACTTTAATGTTTTTGTGCTTAACCTATAATCAAAAGCAGGTGTTATTAGTGTTTGATGCCCATGTTCCAATCCCATAAGTTCACATCACGTCCATATCAAAGCTGCCTTAGGGTTACGGTGTTTAATTACAAGCTTTCATATCGACCACTTTTGAGCGATCGCTGCTCAGGGTTCCTATACAAACTTGGAGCGAGTGGAGTATCTTGGATACCGGCCACCTATGATAAGGATGCTGCTCCTGTAATGACACACGAATCACTTCTCATCTAGCCAAATTTTCATTAATGCGATAAAATAAAGGTACGAAATGCTCTTTGTAGTATTAGAGTAATACATGTCACAAGGTTAGAACATCTAAATATTTCCAGAATATTGAGCTAACATGAATTGGTTGAAATGAAACTGCGATTGCGCTTCTACATGTATTAAAACAAAATGAGGACCTCCTAATGTGAACAAAATTATGTGTATAATATGTATACATATCATAATATTCGTAATTTCACGTTAATCGATGAAATCCATTCCTCCTCCTATTATTCTGTTTCCTTATTAGTGTGATGTCAATGCGCATAATTTAGTCTCATAGACTACTTCTTAGCCACACTCAGGCCTCCAGCTCTCCTATAGGTAAGAAGACCGAAGCGCGACCCTGCGTAGGTTTGCCGTACGTCTCGCGGACCGCAGCCGGTCCCTCGGATTGCTTGTAAACAAATTAGGAGCAGCTTACGACCTGGCGTGTCGGCCCAGCTGACTCGCTAAGTGAACGTAAGTACTTACGCTCTATTTTCTTGTCTATGATTGGTGGTTTTTGTTTGAAAGGCCGTCAATGATTGGTTGATGAACTTACGATCTCTTATATTTTTTTGAAAGTATAGGCCCAGGGCCTATACTTCCAAAAAAAGTTAAGAGATCGTAAGTTCATCAGCCAATCATTGACGGCCTTTCAAACAAAAACCACCAATCATAGACAAGAAAATAGAGCGTAAGTACTTACGTTCACTTAGCGAGTTTTGAAAGTATGGTCCCAGATGGTGCTGTAGAGATGATTTACTTATATCATTGCTGGAGGGTGTAGCTATCAGACCACCACCACCTCGGGACAAACGAACCTGCCAATTAGCTTACGCTGCGGAAGTTTTTCGGTCGTATGTGAGCTTATGAACACTGCGAGGAAATTCTTGATTTCTTTAACGTCCATTCGCATCTCACATTTACCGATTTTTAATCGATAATGTATGTGCCAGTCCCTCAGATATTAATAGGTAGATGATTAGACTTCAGTTAACTTGCGATTTCAGTTTCACTTGCTGCTTGACTTTGACTCCATTGTTGACGCAACATCGGTATTATAGCGGTGCGGTTTTCGTGCTATAATCTACCTCAAAACTCCTAAAATTGCCGAATGGATTTCTATACCACTAACGGCAATCCTGTGAGGGCCGGTACAGGGTAGAGGGCAGGCCAATTTGGCAAGCTGCTGCTGCAATATGGTACCTACATCAGTAAAAGGCTTGCAGCAGCAATATGCTCCACCATAAATCAGCTGCGGCAGCAATAATGTTTCATAAGCAATAAGCAGTAATAAGCTACCCGCTTGACGTAATCTTATCGCTTCTATATGCAGATCTACTAGACTCTTCAGTGGGTCGAGCTGACTTTTTTTATGAGTTTTTAGGTTGTGTAAGTGAAAAATTATCTTTATGTTTTGTGATATCCAGTGAAATTAAAGATAATAAGTTATCGCCAAGTTTGTTCAAAGTAGACTCCGGGATCCAATAAGAAGTGACTTTCCTTTGCGAAAAAGATGGCCGAGTATGGAGGTGGAGTCGTTGCCACCACAGCAGGATATAATGTGAGCGTGGCCAGCCTTAGAAATATTTACATGACGACTACCAGCAACAACTCTGCTCATGTGGACGTCAAAAAAAGGCCCACCAGCGATAACTCAGCGGTTGTTGGCAGTAAAATAAGGCCTACGAGCAGCCATTTTGATGGTGTGGACGTCAAAAAAAGGCATACCAGTGACAAATCTGCTGGTGTTGCGGTCAAAACAAGGCCTATCAGCTACCATTTCTCAGGTACTGATGTCAAAACAATGACTACCAGCGACAACTCAGCTGCTGTTGACGTTAAAACAAGGCCTACTAGTAACAAATTTACTGGTGTTGACGTCAAAGTAAGGCCTACAGGTGAGAAGTCTGCTGGTGTTGACATTAAAACAAGCTCCGTGAGCGACAAATCTGCAGATGTTGACTATAAAATAAGGCCTACCAGGGAAATCTCTGCTATTGTTAATTCTGTTGGTAGAATGTCACTCAATAACACCAACCGTCCAACAGACAACAGAAACTCTGCTGGTGTTAAATACCTCAGCAAAATGTCAGTTACCAAAACCAATCACTCTACAGACAGCAGCAACTCTACTGATGTTAGCGTTAGTAAAATGGCAGTCACTAACAACAACCACTTAACAGACACCAGCAACTCTGCTGATGTTGTTAGCGTTAGTAAAATATCAGTCAGTACCACAAACCACTCAACTGAGAGCAGCAACTCTGCTGGTGTTGATAGCGTTAGTAAAATTTCAGTCACTAACAACAACCACTTAACAGACACCAACAACTCTGTTGGTGTTGAAAGCGCTCGTAATATGTCTCTTGGTAGCTCCAGCGGGATCCCAGTGAACACTCCTGACGCCTCGACGAGTGAAACGAGCATAATTTCCGTCAATAACAATGTTCTGTCGATTCAAACTGATGTTGAGGGAGCCGTTCCATTTATCGCCAACGAACAAACTCCACATGATGCGCCCAAATTCAACAAAAGCAATTTGCTCCTTAGCTTGAGGAAGAAGTTTGCATCAAACAAGAGCCAGAGCACCGCGGAGGGGGTCAGTGTGAGAGACGAGTTTGGTTTGAGTGATGGAAGAGAAGGAAGTGATGGTAATGAAGCAAGTGATTTAAGAGAGGAAAACGATGGAAGAGAACTAAGTGGCAAGGATAGGTTTTTATCAGGAACGCTACCTTTGACGCGCAGCACAGCCGCTGGTCAGCAAAACTACTTTTCTCTGCGGAGGATAAGGCAGGTAAGAACGTTAACATTTACCTAGTCAGTTGATATCATGATTCTACATGTCTTCTGTTGGTACCAATTGATGATTTTGTTTCCAGTTGCATCATTATAGCTGTCAGTTGCTATCAATTGAAGATGACCGGTTCCAGTTGTTGCCAATTTATGACTATTGCAGTAAATTTCAATTGATGTTTGTTGTTTCCAGTTGTTACCACTTGATGACAGTTCTGTAGATCAATGATCGCTTAAGGGTGCACGCAATTAATAGGTTTGAAAATTTTAAAGATTGCGAAAAGTCAATTATTAACTATTTTAAATGTTATTTTTTCAAAATATTCAATATATTTATTTGGTTTTAAATTTGAATGGTTTCACTTATAAACACAAATTATTACGAAATTCGTTATAAATTCTCTACATTCCATCACATTTCTTAGCTATCAAAAAATGCATGGATTAACAAAGCAGGTTCAAGGAACATATCGCAGAGAGATGTGCTTCACAGGTGATCTCTTTCCACTCTTGCCCCTTGTTGTTTTTGGGTTAGAATTAAGATGTTGTTCACATTGATTGCTCTGCTCTCATGTAATGCAAATTTGCTATGCCATGAGACTTCGATCATCACCCTTAGTTAGGTGGCTTCGATTTTTCCATTTCAATTGCTGGATTATATATTAATTTCCAAAGGAAATATTATAAATCGTTTAAGAACCACGCGGTTAGAACCGAAAGAACTTTCTGCACATTGCAAGTTACGAGCTTAAAGTAAGTAATAAAGTCAACAGTAAAGTGATAAATCAATTAAAATTGATTACGTTCACTTTGATAAGGCACAGTTATCTTGATTAATTACAGGACAATCCCTATAGCAATGGATTAAGACTTGTGAAGACACAAGGAAACGCTGATTGAAGTTTGAACATATTGGGACATAGCTGTGAATGTTTGCAATACGAGCTCAAGTTGCTATCCGTCGAACACGTCAGCTTTTCCAGTAAACAGCAATGTCACATACGTCACTATAACGTATTTTGGAGATATGTTCTAATCATCTTCGGTATAAAATTAATAAACTCCACCTTCTGGCTGCCAAATGCGGTTACATGTTTCAAACATATTTCTGCTACCCACATGTAGAAAATTAAATTCGCCATGCAAGATGGTTCTGCTGGAGGTTTTGCGCGTTTTAACTTAACCGAACCATTTGGCCTCTGTCTCTGAGTGTATATAGCGTGGCTGCCGTCTCTGAGTGTAGCGTCGCTGCCGTCTCTGAGTGTAGCGTGGCTGCCGTCTCTGAGTGTAGCGTGGCTGCCGTCTCTGAGTAGTCTCTGAGTGTAGCGTGGCTGATGTCTCTGAGTGTAGCGTCGCTGCCGTCTCTGAGTGTAGCGTGGCTGCCGTCTCTGAGTGTAGCGTGGCTGCTGTCTCTGAGTGTAGCGTGTTAAATCCTTCAGTGATATTTGTCAGCTTACTTCAGTGATGATGTCGCCTAGAAGTCGTTACTCTAACTAAATTGAGCTTCCGCTCAGGTAGAAGAGAGCTGTAATGATAATATTGAATGCCGTACTCAACACTCCACACGTTTTTAATTTTGTGTCGCACTACGGCCGTCTATACTTTTCCTGATATGAAACTGACTCCTGTAATCTTCAAGGAAAAGTCGACATTACAATGAATTTTTTATGAGTTAAGTTGCCCAACGGCAATAGACCGACAACATGCGTGAAATTTACGACAGCGTTGAGGAATGCGATGGGCAGAATTTTTTTAATGTTTGATGTTTTCAGTCCTAAGATGAATTATTTTGACTAGTTTAAAATGCCGACATGGGTCACGATTATTGTTGGGAAGAGGTATTTTATGTCTAAGCTACTTTTCATTATGACATTGCAGATGAGTGCACAAAGTAAGCACGTGTTCGAACTAGGATGTACGTGAACTATGTTGTGGGTCCACTGATAAGCTATAGTCTTATCATCGATAACGTCATGGCCAGGTATGCCAAGGTCTGTCTCGCTCCTCAGTTCAATATTGAAGCCGACCTCATACTGCGTCACGCTCCAGGTATGCAATAGGCTAATCCTTGTTACACCTGAAGCCGGAAGTATTGCTACTCGACGTACGCTGGACAGTCTTCTTATATCTCGAGATTTGCAGCAACTGATAACGAGAATGATTAGTTATTTGTGGATTTTTTTTCCTTGTAATATATATGAATAAATAAAAGGTTTATGGTGTATTGTGAATCGTTTCAACTCGTTCCAAACGAGTTAAAGTAACGAATCTGCACGACGCACGCATCTGCACGACGTGAATAACACAGCGCCCGTACAACACAGCGCCCGTAGAAGGCAGCATTGGCCCTACAACACAGCGCCCGTAGAAGGCAGCGTTGGCCTAACGCAGCGCCCCTGTCACTAGACGCGTCCAGGCTCCGGTGTGACTCCGGTGACGTCGCCTCGTGGCGGCGCCTCCTCAGCGCCGCGTGCCGTTGACAAGTTGAGTTCATCCGCACCGCGATCTGGTGACCGAGATTAGGCGTTTGCACGCAGATCTCGCTACGAGGCGACTGCATCACTTAATTTATGCAAATTGCATTTATGTTGTTAATGTATACAGACAGGCAGTTCGAGTGACGTTATTAGTGACTGTTGGCACGTGTTTTTTTCCTATGCTGGCCATAGGGTCACTTCACGTATGGTGTTTGTGATGTGATTATACGCAGAGTCGCAGTAAATCGTTCATTTTATTCGTCTTCCTTGCCTGCTGTTTTCAAGACAAATTAACATTTAGCAATTGAGCCGTTGAAGCTGTGAGCGTATTCCGCACAGTATTTGATTGCATAAACTGAATGGTCAGCGTCGTTAACGCTTGTGCATTCAGTGAACACTCCGAGACTGCCATTGATGAACGCCTTTCTCCAGCCGCTACTCATGTGGAGCGACGGAAGGCCAGCTGCTTTTTGTAATCTCCTCATGTTTGCTGCGGCCTCCGCTGCACACTTTTAATTCACCACATTCGTCCTTGGGGGCCTTCAGGATTGCACATCGTATTGACGCTTCATATTGGCCTTTGCTGTATTTTCTAGCCTGCTTTATTGTGTTGTTCTTCTTCTCATCTTCTAACATTATCGTGTTAAATGTGACATCGATCTTCGTTTCTCCTGCCTTTTCATTTTAGTCTGCAATTCTTTCTCTTATCAATATCTCGATTACGACAGCATCTTGTTACTCTTTCCCATTGATTATATTTTAATTATTATGTATCCTTTCTTCCTTCTGTAAATCTCGTTCTAATTAATACTTCATTATTTCATAACTGTGCTGATGGATTTGCTACTACTGTCAGTCCGGTGTTTAAAACGACTTATTACTGCCATCATAACTGTGTTGGTGGTGATCTTTCTTTCTACTGTCAAGCCCGTGTTAAGAACGACTTATTCCTTCCATCATAACTGTGTTGGTGGTGATCTTTCTTTCTACTGTCAGTCCTGTGTTAAGAACGACTTATTCCTTCCATAATAGCTGTGCTGGTTGTGATTTTTCTTTTTCTACTGTCAGCCTCATGTTAGGACCTGCGACTTCTTCTTGTCTTGTGTCTCGTTGACGCAATCGAGCTCTGATTATCAATGCAGTGGACGGCGCTGCCATCCATCACTCGAGCAGCATCGCTCATCTCCTGGAGACGGTCAGTGAGAGAACTCAGTTATGGTATAAAAATCCAATTATGGCATGCAGTTGTGCTAATTTTCAAGTGTAAAATTATGAAATTGAAATTCATCTTAATATAGTGTGGATAGTTCTCCATCAACCTGCTATCTATATTGATTCAATAACGGTCGCTTAAGACGGCAATTAGAAGGGCATAGCTCGAGAGCGCTTTCTCTAATTTTTGAGTTTTGTCACATCAAGTCGCATCATCATCAAGACGAAACGCTCGGTACGAAGCAGAAAATTGCAGCCAATGCGGCCAATTGAGTTTATTGTAGAGCTGGGCAGCGCTAATTTGAAATGTAGCGGGCGCTACCGCTACCGCTACATTGCTTTAAAAGCAGTGCCGCTACCGCTACCGCTACATGTAGCGCGCTACTGCCCACCTCTGGTTTATAGTGCCGTGCTGGTACAACTATGGCCTCCCACGACTTTTCTGCGTTCATTTGTGACCGCATTGACGTTTATAGTCGCGTTATGCGGGCATGAACGACCTCTGAACTGAAGAAGACCTTGCGGCTATAAGGCGTAGTGATGTCACCACACGCGTTGCGTCAAACCGGCGACTCGCGACCTTCAAATCCCAGCGCGATGGTTAGGTCCTGCCACACGTTACTCATAGCCTTCATACCCACACCCTCCACGATGGTTAGGTCCTGCCACACGTTACTCATGGCCTTCATACCCAAACCCTCCACGATGGTTAGGTCCTGCCACATGTTACTCATGGCCTTCATACCCACACCCTCCACGATGGTTAGGTCCGTGTAATGCAGGCAGTGGTCTGTACTCGTCCACCTGTCTGCAAACAGCGGTCTGTACTCGTCCACCTGTCTGCAGGCAGCGGTCTGTACTCGTCCACATGTCTGCAAGCAGCGGTCTGTACTCGTCCACCTGTCTGCAGGCAGCGGTCTGTACTCGTCCGCCTGCCTGCAGGCAGTGGTCTGCAGTTGTCCACTTGTCTGCAGGTATGACGCACGCCACCGCACACTTGTTCCGCAGCGCAAGTGTTCATCGCAGCTCTCCCCTCAAGCCTCATATCGTGCATTAAAGTTTATGTTTTTGGTCTCACTTGAAGCACACTTTCAGCGCACATTGTGTGTCACGTTATTCGGGGCTCGGAATGCCTGGTCACTTGAGCGGTGAGCATTAGCAGCCTATGAGTTCAACGAAGATGTCTGCGACATACGCATATCCCCACAAAATACGATACGATAATATCCCCACAAAAAGAAATTCTGTTGCAATTTTTTCTAGGATTTTACACAGAATTAATGACCGGACTAGTATGCGCAAGCCATGCATC